GTTTGTGTGTGTGTGTGTGTGTGTGTGTGTGTGTGTGTGTGTGTGTGTGTGTGTGTGTGTGTGTGTGTGTGTGTGTGTGTGTGTGTGTGTGTGTGTGTGTGTGTGTGTGTGTGTGTGTGTGTGTGTGTGTGTGTGTGTGTGTGTGTGTGTGTGTGTGTGTGTGTGTGTGTGTGTGTGTGTGTGTGTGTGTGTGTGTGTGTGTGTGTGACAGGCTACGAGTCCCAATGCCAGTGTGGCGGAGCAAAGTGCTCAAGTTTCAGCGGCCCTTGTTCGCCACTTGCTGATGCAAGACGTTGTGAGCGCCGCGGATGCCAAGTTTGTGGCCCGGAGCCTGGAGACTGTAATCAAGGTATGCTTTGCTGATCGAGATTTGAACTTGTAACAGCTACGACAGATGTACTTGCGCATATTCGCCACTCGCCTTAATGCCGGGTACGCCATACTTTGTAGAACGAGGAACCTCATGGACGCGAGGCACAGGAGGAGGCCGTTGTTCAACTCAAGCGCGCAATCAAGCAAACATCAGGGCGGTTCGTGCCCCTCGCTTCGTTTTTCTTTGGATTTTTTTGGTTTTTTCTAGCAACCCAAAAAGAGGGGTTTTTTTTTTTTTTTTTAATTAACCGGTGCGCCTTTTGATGGCAGGAACCTGACGATTTTGAGCCAGTTGGTTCCAAGCTTGTTATCAACGTATCGCATTACCTCATCGGCCGAGTTGAAGCGGGTAAGAAAGAGCAGTCGTGCTGCCTTCATATGGTAGGCATACTTGCCTTTTCCCTGACTGACTTCTGGGCGTGTGCACATTTTGTAGCTGGTGGATCGTTGCTTGGTCCACTTGTTGTGTCTCAAGGCCACGGATGCAGGCCTGACGGAAGCGTACTGCCAGCATGTCAATGCCGGTGATGCCGAAGAGCTCAAGTAAGTGCCAGTGGCTTGTCCTGCAGGTGAACGTGAGAAAAGCGGCTTATGAACAAGACAGAGTGAGGCTCTGCCAGAGGGATTATTCTGGTCATGCATGTTGCAGGGCGGTCTGTGGCGCCATTTCGTTGCATTGATGGCTTGGCTTGACTGGTACTCGTAGGCGTCATGTCAAGCGTTCTACAGAGCGTCGGATCGGTGAGCTCAGTGACGACGAAGATGACGTGTACGATTGGAGCCGCTGAGCCTCTGCTTCGTTGTAGTTTTGCTTGCTGTCGGTCAACCCCTTCTTGTGTATGTTTGCCAGGTGAATTGCAAATTGTTGTTGTGCACTTGTATGATAATATTCCAAACGTCAGTCAGTTGTATCTTTGGAGAAATGCGATTATTGGGAATGACCATTGACCAAAGAGGCAACTCGGTTGCATAGGTGGAAGAAAACAAGACACAAAGAGTTCAGACGCCGAGGAAACATATTAGCCAAAAACTTCGTAAAAGGCAACGTTGTTGGCGGGTGCGGGCACGAGCGTAGTAGTGGTGTGGCTCAGATATTGATTGTCGGACGCTTGCTCAAAGCGACAGCAAAAATAGGTCCATTTGTAGCCTCCGCTGCGACAGCGCATGCGGTGCAGGCCTCGCATGGTTTGTGCCCTGCCGCTGTTGAGAAGGGCGAGTTGATCGCTGCTGACTTTGAAGTCTTCTTGGACAAAGTAGGGCATGAAGCCATCAGCTTTTGTAAGCTGATCCCAGGTGGTTCCGAGCAAGTCAATCAAGGTCTGATCGGCGGAGAGAAGTTGGAAGCCACGGGCAATGGTGCGAAAACTCTGGGGAGTGAGGTGGTTTTCAAGCGTGCTGTGCAAGTTGCTGTTGAGGGCGTGCGGCGGGTGTGGATGACCTCGCTCGAGATTCAAAAGATCTGTGCTTGTACTACTGCTCCAGGCGCTGGCAGATAGATGGTCAGTGCTAGTGCACGGCAGATATTCTTGGGCTTGGCTGGAAGGCTTGGTGGGCTCCAATCGAAATTGGCGGCCTTGGGTTGCGGTAAGCTGGTCGAGACGCTGGCTGGCTGCTTCAGGGAGTGTCCAGCTCGTAGCTGTGAACTGCCATGGGCCTTCTTCTTGGCCGGGGACCTGAGCATCCGTGGAGAGGTGCGGGGCAAGGGCGAGAAGATTTTGATCGGCGCCGGATGGAGAGTCGTCCTCCTGGGCTGACAGGAGAGAAATCCGAGAGCCAGGGACAGGGAGGAAACCTGAGGCGGTCATGACGGAGACGTTTGAGTGGCTGTCGTTGGCTACATGCAGTCTGGAGGTGTGCGTTGAGGCCTGAGAAGAGGCAAGCAGAATGGCATCGATGCCCTGTTGGATGGTGGGAGGCAGGCAAACGGACAGGTGTGGTGTGGCAATGGAGGCTTGCTGCTGTTGCAACTGGGGCGTTTGGGACACGTGGGACGCTTGGTGTGGTGTCGCACAGTGGTGGTGTTGTTGCGGCACCGTGTCGATGCTGGGCAGAGGTGGCTGATCGTTGTATGACAAGTGCGACGCAAAAGATGTGGGGGATGAGTGGGCAAAGGGCTGCGAATGAGGTACCGGCTGGGAGCTCTGGGGATGGCTTTGCACCGAGGCAAGATGAAGCTCGGGTGTGCTGGATTGAGCCATGAGAGTGGCCAGAAAGTCGGCTGGGGATGAAGAGGGGGAGGCCAAAGGAGGGGAGGAGAGGACGGCGCCAGGCCCTTGCGGGGGCGATGTCAAGTGCTGCAGGCTTGGGTGCTTGGACACGATCTGAAGAATGCGAACGGCATGCTCCAAGAGGATGGCACGTTCCGTGCCTGGGGGAAGGCCGAGGACGTCATGAAGCTCCTTGAAGGAACGGTTAAGCCGGCTGCGGCGCAGCCGTTCCGTTTGTTGATGTCGGGCGTTACGGCGCGCGCGCTTGGCGTCGGTGTGTAGGGGTTCGTCGCGAGGCAAAGACTGGTTGGTTGCGGCCGCAGAGGCCGGCCGCTTCTCGGTCATGGTCGAGGCGGCGACCAACACCATGTTCGGTCACTCTCTATCCCGACCCAAATGGCTTGACCAGGCAAACCCCGCCTCAAAGGGTTTCCAAGACAAGGGGCAAAGGAACGCGAGTCGGCCAGGCAAGCAGCGCGTCGGCGAGGGCAAGACAAGCACCCAGTCCCAGAGTACCAAGAAAAAAAAAAAAAAAAGAAAAAAAAAAAGGGCGGTGTGCCCTATGGGAGAGATGGACAAGAAGGAAGAAAAAAGAAGAAGCAGAAGAAAAAAAGGAGGGAAGAGAAAGCGAAAAGCGAGAGAGAGAGGGGGGGGACGACAGGAGGGGAGGGGAAGGAGGACACCGAGGAAAAGTGCCGTTGGGCCGATGGCAGGGAGCGGCGGAGGGAGAGAGAGAGAGCAGAGGGAGAGGGAGGGAGAGGGAGGGAGGAGTGAAGGGCAGAGATGCTGATCAGGACAAAAAGAAAGAAAATGTCAAAAGCGCAAACGTATGAGAGAGAGGCAAAAGGAGAGTTGGGGGCTGGGTGGTGGGGAAGAGGGAGGCGGGGTGGCGGGGGGGTATCTTAGAGGGGTGAGGAAGGGCTGGTGGGAAGAATCAAAGGGAGGGTGGGGAAGGGAGGCATGACCAGAGACAGGGGTTGATAAGCGGACCGGATCAAGAGGCGTGCAGGTATCCCGCACTGTTAGCATGTACGCACTATGGGATTGGGACTCATTCCGATGGGGCAACACCGGTCGTTTCCGGCTCATCAGGCTGGTGGGATGCCTTCGAGTCATCTGTAAACTGGCAGCTTCCTGGACGTGTGAATTCCGAGCAGGTTGTGTACCTCAGACGTACAGACCTTGACCCGTATCGTCTTATTTCGTACCCCCCGCCAAACCATCGAACACGTTTTGGTTGGTGGTGCGAATACGCACGGTCTCTCTCATATCCTTCTCTACTGGCTCCCCTCCCTCCGCTGCCGGCCCCTCCTGCCTTGTGCTCTCTTCGCCATAAGAACTGATACTCGGATCAGATTTTAACATTCCGTGCCTCCACCTAACGGCCACCGCAGCAGCAGGAGGAGGAGGAGGAGGAGGAGCAGCAGCAGCAGTGTGTCAAAACAAAGTCGTAAAATACCTTTTCAGTCAAGCAACATCAAGGCGTACCCCCATCACCGTCCATCCGGTGGCCGTAGCGTCTTGTTGGAGACTGAGCGCACTCGCATGTCCGCCACCACCAACCGATCAGGTGCCCGGTTTGGGTGGCCGTGTCTGGCCGTCGCCCTTGGTCCGGTGCGGTCCTGTTCAAAACGCCGCTCGGGCTGCCATACACCCAACAACGCACCCAACCGCGACAAAAACCGTATAATTTTCTTCATCAACTTTGTCTGGCCAAGTAAGCGTAACAGAGGGGTGCCTGAAGTTTGAAACAAAAAGTCGAGCCATGTCGTACTGAACGAGAAGATAGCTATCTCCTTTTTAGACATTCTGCAATCTAAACATTGCAGCCTGCGAAAGCAGTGATCTATGTAACATACAGTGTACGAAACCAGTGAAGTTCATTCTCCCCGTGCACGCCAACCGTCGGCAGCAGCAGCAGCAGCAGCAGCGATGCGACGATCGTGGCCGTGGGGCCTGTCCGGGCCTGCCGTGGCCCTGATTTTCCTTGTGGTGGTGGGATCCGTTGGTCGCAGCAGTGCCTGTACGACGCTGGTTGCAGGTCGACTTGCTACACAGGACGGCAGCACCATTGTTTCCCACTCTAATGACGGTCAGCTGAACGCAATGACCGCCCCCTTGCGCCTCGCACCTGCCAAGCCGATGGGCTCACTTGACTTGTGCCGCCCTGCCCCTGCCTTGCTGTTCACAACACCTCTCAGGCGATGGCATCACCGATGCTCGACTTTTTCTCGTTCCCGCTGCTGACCATCCCGCCAATTCAACACGACCCATTTTCGATGCACCCGAGTCCTATCCGCGGTACGTGGGCTCGGCTCGGGGTGCCAACAACTACCAGGCCGTGGATGGACAGCAGGACAGCACGCCTCGAGGCTACATCCCGCAGGTACCCCACACATACGCCCTCATGGAGGCCACGTATGGCGTCATGAATGAGCACGGTGTGGGCATTGCCGAGAGCACCTGCTCCTGCATCGACTGGTCCAAGATCCCATCCGCTGCCCATCTTGTCGGCCGCGCCAAGCCGCTCATGGCCATTGACACCCTCTCCCGCATTGGCTTGGAACGCGCAACCACGGCCCGTGAAACCGTGCAAATCATGGGGGCACTGGCCGAAGCTCATGGCTTTTATGGTCCCGACTCTTTTGAGGGCACCGGCGAGACCCTGCTGGTGGAGGATGGCAACGAGAGCTTTGTTTTCCACATTCTCGGTGACCCTACCGGGAGCTCGGCCGTCTGGGTGGCACAGCGCGTGCCAGATGGACACGTGGCCGTCTGTGCGAACCTGTACATTGTGCGCGAGGTGGATCTCAACGATCCCTCACAGTTCCTCTACTCCCAGTCCATGGTGTCCCTGGCCCAAGAACACGGCCTTTGGACCCCAGGCACCCCCTTTGATTTCGCCGGTATTTACTCCGACGGCGAGTATGCTCACAAGTACTATTCTGGACGCCGCATGTGGGGTGCATACCATCTGCTGGCCCCTAGCCTGAACCTGAACGCCTCCTACGACAATTTGCTGCACGATCGGCCCTACCCTTTTAGCGTGCGCCCAGATCGGCTCCTCAATGTGTCCGATTTTTTCCGCGTCCACCGTTACAGCTATGAAGACACGCCGTACAGTCTGCGCCAAGGCATTGCTGCGGGCGCCTTTGGTACGCCCGATCGCTACAGCGGAGGTGCTGGCGAAGCCGAGGTGCAAGGCAACTGGGAGCGGCCCATTAGTCTCTTTCGCACCACCTATTCACATGTCATTCAGAGTCACCGCGACCTGCCGGCCGCCGTGCGCGGCACGCTCTTTTTTGGGCCCCATGCCGCTCACGGCACCTGCTACCTGCCGCTCTTCTCGGGTCAGACGGAAATGGCCGAAGCTTATCGCCAGGCGCGCGCCGGCAAGCTCAACCGCACATCCGCTTTCTGGGCCTTCCGCTATGTCGAGAACCTGGCCAACCTTCGCTTTGATGCCATGATCCAGGATATCAATGCTCAACAAAGGACATATGAGGCCGAAGGCGTGGCTCTCCGCGCCCAGCTTGTGGCTGCTGCTCAAGCCGGGCATGTTGATGTGGCCAATTTGACCACCGCTAGCCTGGCCCTCACGCAGCGTGTCGTTGCAAAGTGGTGGGAACTGGCGGATGATTTAATGGTCAAGTACGCTGATGGGTGGGTCACCGTCAACCTTGGTCCCGTTGATGCGGCCGCCCCGCCTGGCTATCCAGCATGGTGGCTCAAGCAAGTGGGCTATCCAGAGGGGCCACCGCCTGTTGATGCTGTTCACGACAACCTAGACCTGGGTCAAAAGTAGCGGTGACCCATCCAACCCTCCATTCCAGTAACTTTAAAGCTGTGCCGTGACGCAAACCTCATCTGAGGTGGATATCGCAGGTGGTTGCGGTAAATGTGTGACCGTTTGAACCATTCAAAGCTGAACTGCTATGCTTCCGCCGCACCTCGAAGGAAGAATTTAGGGTTTTTAGTGCTTGCTTGATACGTAAAGAGAAGACACAAAAAGAAAGAAAACAAGCAAACCGTTTGCACGTCACGGAAGCACGACGGCAAAATCATTCCATTCATGGCCAGCAAATTAATACACAACGGCAATATACAGCAACACTCCATTCCATCAGCACAGTAGTAGGACTGGGCTGACAATAGCAATGCACAACGGACATGGCTGAAGTTGGTCATGAGCAGTAACGCAGAGGCTTGAAGCAAAACTCACGGGGCAAGCAGGGCTGAGCAGGATTCAACGACAATATCATCGGCGAATGCACATTTAGGAGCGGGCCACAATCCAGAGCAGGCCGTTCTGGCGCAGGGCGCGCTTCAAAGCACTATTGGACAAAAGCGAAAAGAAAAAAATTTGAAGTGAGATGCTGCACAATCGGAGCAAGGCTGTGGCCAGCTGCTGCAACTCACCGACGCTTGCTTTGCTTGTAAGTGTTGTAAAAGTTGCGCAGCTCCTCTTTGTTCTTTTCAGGTAACTTCTCCAGCTTGTAGGTCTTGTTCTCGTTGGGCACGCGAACGAGGTCCCGAATCTCAGCCTTCTTGGAGATGCGCGCCCGTTGATACCATTGGGCAAAAGGAAGGGGCTTGTGCTTCTCCTGGAATTCCTGGAAGCGCGCATAGTCCTCCTTGTGTGTATCGATCCACTGTTCCAGATCCTTGATGTAGGATCCCTTGGCAGCCTCGAGGCGGTCGCCCCACTGCTTCTTCTCCTCCTCCGAGGTCTCGAGCCAGGCGCGACTGCGCTCGGTGAAGGGCGTTGAAGCCGCCAAGCCCGACTCCTTGGACCAGAGTGCCATCGCACTGCGTGGGGGGCGCGGCATTGGGGGATGCGACTTCAAAAACTTGGCAAGGTCGTTCTCGTACTGCTCGCGATTCTCCGTGTAGCGCTTGGCGTATTGCTGGACGGAAGGAACGGGAGCCCGACGCCAATGAGATGATCAAGAGAGCGTCTGTAAAAGAGCATTTGTTTGCGCTGCGCTATTGTAGCGATACGCCATGAATGCAAACTGACTGACCTCACGCTCTGCATCGCTCAAATCGCGCCACTGGCGACCAAGCTCGACAGACACATCACGCAGATTCTTGTCCTCTGCATATTCAAGGCAGCGGGCCAGCCAAGACCAAAACCCACACATGAGGGATAAGCGTCAGCCCAGGCACAGAGCACAAACCTCACGTGCACACATGCAGAGTCAAGCAGGGCAACAGACATACCCAGCTTATGCTTGCTCATAAAATCAGAGTCCTCGCGCTTGTCCATGACAAACATGAGGTACTTGGAGCTAGTACAAAGAACAACCCAAAAACGCACACGCGAGCGCAAAAAAAAACAAGTTGATGGCGGTGCACACACATAGCAAATCATTCATCGACCGAATGTGAGAGGCTGTCAACGGATATCTCTGGATACTACAGGCCAAAACAAGCCTGTCAAATGTCACTGTGCAAGCAGAGCTCAAAGACACTTACAGGGGCGGCGACGGCATTCGAGCAGAGAGAATGGACGATGCACTGCGCGGATAAACCAGGATGGCGGGGGGCGACGATGAGCAAAACACTTTTTCGCGCCGCATGTGCACTTGACTGCAATCATGAACAGGACGCGCTTTGCTCGCGGGGCCATCCAAGTGCCCCAGTATGCACGTCACCACCGTCTTGCTCTCACGCGCTCACAGTGACCAACCTCAATGCACGCGTGGTCATGACGGTCACGGGCGTGATACGCATGGCATTCAATGCCAGCATGGCTTGACGAACGGCCATGGTGCTGGACAAAAGTTGTTGAGACCTGCACGCATCCCAGGACCACAGTCGGGCGAGTGAGAGCCCTGATTCAGGTCTCACCAAAACACACACAACAACGTCTTGGGAAACCCTTGCCCCTTAGCCCATGCTGCACCACCAGCCAGTGAACCTGCTTCAAACGACCTCAACACTCAGGACACCCAGACTTACAGAGGCAGGAGCACAGGATGGGTACGGCGATGCCACCAAGGAGGTACTGATCACCAGAAATAAGAAAATGACCGACTGCACAAAATTATGGCGTCGGTCGTCTCTCTCTCTCTCTCTCTCTCTCTCTCCTGTGTGTGTATCAGATCAAAAGCAAGTCATCAGATTGAACAAAAAAAAAAAAAAAAGCTGTTGTGTTGCTGTAGCACTTTTGGTTAAAGATTTGAGCAGGTTTTTGCAAACGTTCTTATTGACAAAGCCATCAAAGAGAGTGATCAATGATGTGAATTGTCAGCGAAAATGCACCCAATGTTAAAAATTTAATTTTGAGAACACCAAAACACAAAAACAAGAAGAGGTGCGCAGCCAAGGCCGAACAGGGCCATCTCACAACCGGAATAGGGTACAAATCGCGCAACACCCATAAAACTTCGAGGGTGCTTTTTCACGTGCTCGGCACACAAAGCAGATTTATCGCCAAATGAACAAAGTGTCAACATCAACATCGCAAGACCATGTGCGTGCCATGGTCATCATTAACGAGAATCCAAGAGCTTGGTCAACTTGCGGCACGAGTTGAGCTCATCCACGGCATCCAGGCGCTCAAAGAGATGCATGGCTTCCTCCAGCTGCGTACGAAGCAAGGCCTTTGGTAGACTCGAGGACAAGCAACTGGCCATGTGCAACTTGGCCAGCGCCACATCATAGGGCTGCTCCAGTTGTTCAGCCAACGTCCAGCTGCCATTGCACAATCAAGAATCGCACAATCAAGAACAAAGCAAACGTGAGACCCAGCAACTTAAGAACGTAAATGGGTCCCGTCACGAGACGGATTGCCGGAAAAGAAGTGGCTTGAGGCGTTACCTTTGTTGGAACAGTTGCTCTGTGGGCTCTGTGCGAGCCCCGGCCAAGCAGCGACAGATGCCGCGCAACAGGAGCGCCTGCGGTTGACTGTAGGGCAAAGACTGAGCAAAGGCCGTGGCCAAGTCGACATCGTTTTGCAATGCCGTCAACATCACATCAAAGGTCACCACAGAGCCGTCCCGCTCGCGCAGAGCATCCACCTCCGCCTCCTAAACCGCCAAGGTTGATCAAAAGACACACAACGGTCAAAGGACAAAAGGAAAAAAATACTCATCACCAAACACACCCAGCGACTCCCAAACAGGCAGACAAGCTCATGTCTCTGAAACCCCAGGAGGAACGCAACCACGTACAGGGAGTCGCCGCAGATAAGAGCGCAGACGATAGAGGGCCACGCGAACACCCATGACCTGGCGCAGGACCAGAAAGCGCGCCATCTGTAATTCCAGGATGTCACATGTGGGCGAGGGTGAGCGAGGGGCTTGAGATGCTCCAAAAACGCCTACGATTCTGAGCAGAGCGCACTCACCTCGTCGAGTGCTGGGGCAAAGACGGGATGAGCTGGGGGGAGACGCGCGTAGCAGCAGGAGGCACGTTGTAGCGCCAACCAGCAAAGGGCGTGATCTCCATCCAAAAGAGCCTGCTGAGCGCGAAGGACGGCGTAGAGGCTTTCTTGCAGCAGGTCACGCTTGGGACAAAGGCGTTCTGCTTGCACGAGCTTGCTACGTGCCTCGCGCAGCTGGCCCTGGCGCCAATGCATGGGCACCATGGTGGCCAAGGCCCACCAATGATCGTGGGCATGATTCGCCACATGGGCGTGCTTGCCCAACTCGAGCAGGCGGCTAGTAGCCAAAGCCAGGTCGCGACCCGCGACCAAATCTTGCATGCCCTGCTGAAGCAGGTGATGCCGAAAGGCGACGCTGAGCGAGAGAAGTGTGCCAGGCTTGCGGGCGCCCAAAGCGCTGACCGTGAGCCAAGTGCCGTCGAGGAGATAGGTGCGACCCTGTGGCTCGAACATCCAAGCAAACTCGCATTCTTCCATGTTGGCCATTGGGTCGGTCATGGGGTCGCCTTCGCCGTCGTTATCCAAGGACACGTCATGGTCGGACTCGGCGTCCTCCTCATCGGCTTGCTCAGGCCCAACCGCCGTGCGGCAGGCTTCGCGGGCCAGTGACGCGGTTGCAGCCGCACATGCCGCCACGGCCTTGGCCTTGTCCAGATACATGCCAGCAAGAAAGGACGAGCCACCTCGCTGCAGCACGAGCTCGACGGCTAGAGCCGCATAAAAGCGACCAAGCTCCACGGGGCTCAGTTGCGAGCCAGCGGCTTCGGCAGCATTGACAGCGGCCAGGGCACACTCGAGCGAGGCGGCCGTGACTACGGCGTCCTTGCGCGTGTCCAACATAACCTGATGACGATGATGATAGGTACGGGCCAAAACAGCCAAGAATTCGGCGGCAGCGGGTCCGTGTGACGAAGCAAAATAGCGCTCTGCCCAGAGACCAAGGCGCGAGGTGTGCAGCGCCTGACGAAGCACGTGGTTGGCCAAGCCGAGCTGCATCCGCGAAGCCCCGAGCTGCGGTTGATTCAAACATTCCAAAGCCTGCGATACAAACCACAGAAACTCATGAGGTGATGATGCGCATGCGGGTTTTCAGGGAGTGGGCTGAATCGTGCTTTGTAGTTTGAAGCCGCCCGCCCACAAGATAAACTCACCTTGTCTGCGTGCCAGCTGGCTGTCTCATGGTGTTGCAGCATGCGCGCCACGGCTGTCTTGCGTTCATGCTCGTGGGCCGCTTTGATCTTGGCAGACTATAGAAATGCGCGCACACGCACACACACACACGCACACACGCACAAGGAAAACAACAAAAGCAGAAATACGAAAATATGAGAATGGGTGAATGGCCTCTACCCTGAGTGGGACAGACGACCAGATGGGATCCAAGATGGGAGCATAAGAGGGAATATGAAACCATAGAGCCGCGCCAATCAACAGACCTCCGATTCTGTGACGGGGTCGCGAATAACAATGACCACAGCCAGCAACAATAGTGACACCACTTGCATGCACCAGAACAGGGCCGTTGACCAGAGGCCAAGACTTTCATCGCCTCCGGTGTTGACCCCGGCGCCTGACGCCTGCACGCTCTGAAGAACGCGACCCGGGCCCATTGCCATGGCGGGCCCCTCGACAGCTCCGCCAAAACCCGCGGAGAGCGAATGGGAGAAGAAGGTAAAACCAGCCACGCAGGCCACCATAAACATGCGGGTGGCCGTGGCCGGTGCCCCGGGAGCGCCAGGAGAAATGGAGCGCACGCTACCCGGACTGCTAGGTGCGTTGGGCGAAGTGGCGTGTCCGCTGTCGACATCCGAAGGTGGAGACATGTTGCCGGTCTGAACGCGCCGCGTGCCGTTCAGCATGGCCATGGCAGCCGCGGCCGGCGCCGGCACAGTGGAAGGGGTCGAAGGCTCGGTTGGTGGATAGGCTTCATCATAGGCTGAGTCAAAGGCAAGTAAATCTTCCAGCACGTTGGCCGTCGGATTGGTGCTGACAGTCGGCACTGCATTGCCAGCGTCGGCCAAGCCGTGGGCAGCCAGCACCTCGCGTAGGCTGGTGACCTCCCGATGCAGTTCCTGATTGTTTTCAATCAAAAAGTGCAAATAGGCAGTCACCTTTTGCAAGATAGCAGCCTTGTTTGTCTACAGCCGGCCATGTCAAGGATAAATTCGAGTGAGACAGGCACGCCAAGCCCTCGCCTCCTTAAGGAGTACGGCGAGATGGAACATACCCTAACTTTTGGACCAGTTGTCCAGGTGGGCGGCAACAGCCGACGTAGGTGGGTGATACGGTCGTTGATGGAGTTGCGGTATCGGCGCTCAACTGCGTTGTGCGCCATCTTTTTGTCCATGGCCGTCTTCAAGGGACCCTGCCGTTTGATCACTGTCTTTTTGAACGTTTCCGGGGGCGGAGGGGGCACGACGGGAGGCAGGAGGCTCGAGGCAGCGTCGGAATTTTCTGGCACGGACGAGCTGGACAAGTCATCCACGGCGGGTTTGAGCTCGGGTGAGTTTGGGTTGACCATGGGCTGTGGAGCAGGTGGGGCAGATAGGGTTTGGGAAACGACAGGCCCGATGTCGGGAAAGCCGTGAGTGATGATGGGATGGTTGTTGGTATCAACACCAGCCTGTGATAGAGAACACAATCAAGTCAGAAAGCCCGACAACAGGTCCTTGAAGACAAATACACACAAAGGCACCAGAGCATTAATTTACCACAGGCGCGGCTCGTTTGGCAGCCGGGTGAACGTCGTCATGGGCCGCATAGCTGTGCGCGTTGGTGCGTTTGCCGGCGAAGACACGATGATCAACAGCAGCGCTGATGTGGTGCTCTGGAATCAAGCTTGCACCCATCATGGGGACTGGCATGCCTGGACGCGAGATGCATGGTTTGCATTGATGAGCGCGGGCATGACAGAAAACAACAGGTTTAGGACCCAGAATCAGGCTGACGAAACGGGCATACCCGTGGTGGGCATGCTAGTCGAAGCCAGCGTAGTTGCGACATCGTTGGCATTGAAGTGCATCAGGGGCTCTCTGCAAAATCGACCGTTCGGGAGCGTGAACAAAGCAGCGAAGAGGGACGAGAAGAAAAAGATTGTGTAAAAAAAAAAAAATTAGCAAAACATCGCCGTGAACGCGCGCAGAACGTACGATGGATCATGCAGCAGGTGATGCATATCATCCTCCTACATAGCGGCACCGTGCGTATCCCCGATGAAGAATAATGAAAATGGGAGTCAGAAGACTGACACCTTTCAAACATTGCAAGGCATCAGAATGTGTCTGGGCGATTGGGTTGATGGCCTGACCGGAGTAGCATGCAGATGTGGGAGTGAGCTGGAGATTTCATCCAGCAAGGTAACAGCGGCTATCAGGTGCCACGCCATCAACACCCGATGATGCAGGAGCCCACAGCGTCGTGAGCAAGCGCCAAGGTCATTGGGCCACAATAATGCCGAGCCCGAGCGCTGAAGATGCAGGGGCGGAGACACGTACAATCCCACTCGGGCAGAAAGTCATGCAGATCATGTGCGGTCGCCATGACCCGCGGTTTGTGCAGGGCACCAAACCTCGGGACACCAAATACCCTGGATGATAGCAAAGCAGCACGGCCACAAGCTTGGCCTCGCTGCTGCTGTCGTTGCTGTTCAAGTCAGGACGCGCCCGAGAGAGAGAGAGAGAGAAGATGAGTGAGAGACCTTACACGGTACCCCGGAGAAGAAAAAAAAAAAAGCAAGCACAGCGAGTCAAACGCCGGTGGGCTAACGGAACGGCCGTCTATTCGCACCAACGCCCAACCACCAGCACCCTCTCCACATGCCCAGGCCACTTGGCGCGACCAGGGACCAGGGCGCTGCCCTTTTCGACAAGCGCGCCAACAACGCCAGACCGTCGATCCATTTCCATGTCGCTCACCTCTCGTGACTTTGGCAGTTCCAAATGCTCATGGGACATATCCCTGACTCGCTCTCTCTCTCTGACTGGTCCACCCCTTGGTTGCACAGTCTCTGTTTCAAGGTGGCTTGTCCCTTGCACGGTGTTGGTGGTTTGTTCCCTTTCTCTGATGACATCGACGGGACTTGCACCCGCCTCTGACGCGCGCTCGCTGGCTTACATGTGCGTGTCCGCATCACCTGATCGCGTGATGTCCGTCAGTGTGTCAATACACCATCTGACAATGGTTCCAACAGGTGTTCCTATCGTATGTTGCTGACAATGCCAAGTTTGTCTGACAATCTGACCCGCGTGCCCGCCTTGCGTGCATTTGACTGCAGAACGCGCTTTTGGCAGCGTCGAGCGCCAGATCCGCACGCGTGGACGCGAGACCTTTGAAGATGGCACAGAACACGGAGGAGGAGACCTGGGATGACTGGGAGGTTCGACATCGCATGGCAAACTTCCTGTTGCTGGCCCAATGCTAGCATATCCTGTGATGGGCACATAGTCTTGACTGTTTGCCTTGGCGCCGGCCGGTTTTCATCATGTGCTGGCTGGGGTCGCTCCCGGGTCTTAGGAGGCTGAGCAGCCCGCCATCTGCCCACTGGATCAGGAGCGTTTGCCCAGCGCAGAGGCATGCATTCAGTACCTGCGCACAAAGCATGACTGTGATTTGATGAAAATCGCGGCAGAACATGGTTCGGTCCCCTCCTCAAACACACATGCGCGCGCGCCCTCGCATGCACACCTTCAGAGCATGGCGAATTAACAGGCAGTGCTATCCTGGTGTTCCCACAGCACTCGACCACTATGGCTGCATTCGCCTCATTAATTTCATGCGCAAGCATCAGGTGGGCCTTGCTGCCTTCCATTCTGCACCCACCCACACACGCACACACACACACACACACATGCGCGCGCGGCCCTGCCGACTCACCTCCTCGTGCACGCCTTCCCCAGCGCATTCCGGCCAGCCGTGATGAGTATGCGACAGACGATGCCTACCTCCAGCCCGTCATGCCTGAAGATGCTCTCCTGCAATATGGTCTGTTGTTCAATGCGACAAGCACAAGCATGGCGTGTCACGCTGCGTTGTGCGCTCTCATCAGCTGTGACCTTGGTGGGTCGACCATGCGCTGAAGATTTTTTTCCGGAGGAGTGGTCCGACGATGAGGAAAATGAAGCTCCTCAAAGCGCCGCTGCGCCAAGCTCCAACGTGCCCATGCAGGTCGGTGGAGCCCCGCTTTGGACTTTGCATGCTTAATTTGATGCGTGCTTAATTTTGATCCCTTTCATGATATAATGCTTGCAGACACCGGCACCGCTGCTGGCCGATGCTTCAAACCTGTCCACGGAAGAACTGCGCCAGCTTGTTGCAGAGCTTCAGACCGTTGTTCGCGAACAAGTGCGTGCTTGTGCGAGTAAAGCTTGGGCAAGCCCTCGGTGGCTTTGTCACTCATTTTTTTTTTCTCGCCTGGCTGTTGCTTGCAGTCGGCCCTACCTGCCTCAGATCTTCAGGCCGTGCGGTGTGTAGCCTGCTTCACAGCCGCCTTACGCTTTCCAGCTCGTTTGCCACGCCGACCGCGTTTCTTCTTCTAGAGATGTCCTTAATGTTTGTCACTCACCCTTGTTTCAACCCCTGTGCGTGTGCAGGCAAGAGGTGGTCGCCACCCCTCAGGAAGAGGATCAAGGGTATGTTTTGCGTTTCAGTCGCAAATACGCCGGAATCCAGCTTTGCGGGTGGTCGTTGGAACACATCAACCAGCATCCTGTGCCTCATGCATGCTTGGGATGACCCTCAGAGATGGATCCAACGACTCAGAAGGCTACTTTGCCGGTTATGCCCGAGTGGACATTCACGAGGAAATGCTCCGTGATGTCGTGCGCACCGAGTCCTATCGGGACTACATTCTCAACAACCCCTCCATTTTTCAAGACAAGGTGCATCTCAAAGTCCAAGCCTTCTCTGCCCGCCCTGCGGTGTCTCACATGTTTGAGTCATGGCTGACCTCGACTCGCTTACACCCCTTCAGGTGGTCCTTGATGTGGGTTGCGGCTCGGGCATCTTGAGCATGTTTGCTGCCAAGGCGGGTGCAAAGCATGTCTATGCTGTCGACAACAGTAGCATCGTCCACGACGCGCGCGCCATTGTGTTTGAAAATGGTACGGGAGCCCTCTCTCTACGTCCGTGAGCTGCCTTGCCTACTCTCTTCAAGGCATGCCCATGGTTGATGCTCAAAGGTTTTGTCTCATCTGCGTCGCAGGCTTGTCTGATAAGATCACGGTGCTACATGGCAAGGTTGAGGAAGTTGCCCTCCCGCCCGAAGGTGTTGATGTGATCGTGAGCGAGTGGATGGGCTACTTTTTGCTGTTTGAGTCCATGCTCGACTCAGTCTTGTGTGCGCGTGATCGCTGTCTGCGGCCCGGAGGTTTGTTCGATGTTTGGAAAAAAACACCGTAGTCATGCTCTATTGTGTAAGTATCGCAATGGTCATGACCTGATTCATTGCGTGTCCCAGGTGTCATGGCTCCGGATCAGAGTAGCATGTATCTGGCAGCACTGGATGATGCTTGCGGCGCCTCCAACAAGCTTGGTTATTGGAATGACGTTTACGGTATGCCTTGCTCCAAGGTTTTGCTCCGACGGGGGGTGCGGGGGGCGGGGGGCACCCAGCAAGCGACAAATGACTCTGCTTCTTGAAGGCTGGCTCTTGAGCACGAGCCTTCTTGGGCAAAAGTCTCAAAGGGTGCGCACGTATGTTTGTTTGTTTGTTTTTCGTCTTCTTGACCTTTTCTTTGCTTTTTTTTTTTCTTCTTTCTTTTGGTTTTGTCCTCGACTGTGATGTACCTCAGGATTTCGGATGCCAAGCCTCCAACGCCGTGTTCTGCGAGACGCCTGGGTGACCGTTGTGCCCAACGAAAGTGTTGTGAGCAACCGCCACGTTTTTCAGGTCCGTGGCACCGGCTTTCGCTGGCCCGCTTTGACCAAAATCTTCATCTTTGGAGTACTGACTTTTATCGTGTTTTTCGCTATGCGCAGAGCTTGGACATGAACAAGTGCAGCATTCAGGACCTGACCTTTGCTCGCCCATTTACTCTAGTCATGAACAAGGCTACCCGTGTTACGGTATGAGAGGCCGAGAATGCGTGTGTCTGTGCAATTCACTCACCCACTCACGTTTGCACCTGGCTCGCGGGCTATGGAACATGCTTTCTTCTGCAGGCTTTGCTTAGCTATTTCGATATTGTTTTTGACAACAACGGCGAACAATCGGTATGTAGCTTGGGCCTTGACAGTCAAGGATGAAACTTTTGGCGTTTTCTCTTGGTGATTTGGCTCTGGCCTTGCACCACACAAAGTGATGAGAAACCTTTTTTTTTTTTTCTGACTTGTTTTTTGCAAAACTCTTGACCACTGCGCCAGGTGTATTTCTCAACTGGACCAGAGGCCATTCCAACCCACTGGCAGCAAACCGTTTTCTTGTTGGAAAACCCCGTGGAGGTGTCACAGGGTTAGTGTTGGCATTGTGAACCTGCAACCTTGGCCCCTGGTTGCCTCATGGCTTTTTTGCACACGATGGTACAGGCGACCATATCGAAGGCAATATTACCGTGGCTCGCGCCGAGGATCACGATGAATCTCGAACCCTCACGGCCACAATCGAGTATCACGTATGTCCGAACCTTGTGCCTGTTCCCCGGTTGCTTCCCCCAGCCACTCTTGTCCGATGGAGCTGGGCTGTCTCGGCAGCGATCGAGCTGCCAGTTGGTGAAACGGCTTTCATTCACCCATCCATGGCTGACTGACATGTGTTTGCAGGTGAAGCAGCAAAGCAATGGCGAAAGCGGGGCTACCTTCTCGCAGACTTGGCGCATCTGATAGTCGAGCCAGCCTTTGTACTGTGTTGCTGTCGTGGGTACTTTGAATTTGCAATTGACAAGAAAGATTTGGAACTGCGGGCTGGTCTTGGTCCGGTAATGGTTGATTAATTGGCAGATGATTATTGTCCTTTTAAAGCTCATCATGAGCCTCGGAGGGCAGGGTTACAGAGCTAGTGATTGTGTCAGGAACGAGAGTAAAGAACGCGCTGGGAAGGTCGCGCACGGTGCGATACCGGACAGCAAAGGCCGAAAAACTGCTGACGCAATTGCCCAGGAACACATCGGCCTGAGTGAACAACACCATGTCCTCCATGGGTCCATGAGACCGCACCACCAAGGGTGTGTCTGGCCTGTTGTGGCGTCGGTCCACACGTGCAGTGAGGATATTCAGACATGCGCGATTTGAGCTGCACAGTAGAAAGTCCCCTCTCTCTGGATGAGGCGGGGCCGGGGGCTGAGGAACGTACCACGCCCAGCGAGATTGCAACTGCTCCACAAAGCGTGGGTTGTCAGAGCCAATGTAGACGGCACGCAAGCCATGTTGGGCGCAAAGGCGCTCAATGTCGGCAAGGACTTGGTCGGGGTCCGGATAGCACAACTCCTAAACCCTCGTGACCAGACCAGAAAGAAGCGTCAGATTGGAGTAACGTTCTGGACAGGTTGGGTTGTCGCGGGGAGGTGAGACGGGTGTGATAGCTTGGGCTGCTCGCGGCACGACGATCCACACCTTGGTCACCGTTCGAGGGTTGAGGAGGTGGTCGCATTGGGGACTGGACATGTAATAAGGGACGCCATTGGCGTGTTCGCAGGCGCGCTTCCAGTCTGTGCTGTATTTCAAGATTTTGAGGGGGGTGACAAATAAGCAGCTGGGTGAGGCCGCTGAGGGGGACGCAGACGCAAGCCAAAGTATATGATGGAGAATGTCAAGCAAGAGAGTCTACCAATGGCCCATCAACGCACCCAGCGCGAATGTGTACGGCCAAGTACGGACGCGGCAAATGCTGGTCAATAAAGGCCTGGGCCATCGCAAGGCGATCGCTGCGCCACTCGACAAAACGAGCGAGGGCTCGATGCTCGGGCTTTTCTGGGAAGGTGGCTGGTGCTCCCCGCATGGCAATGACGGCGTGGCCGTTTCGGGGGTCGTAGCGCTGGGGCCATTCGCTGTGTGGCAACAGGTAGTCGATGCCGCGATCGCCAACAAAGTCGATGCCAAAGTGGTCCCAAAAGGGGCCAAACGGATTGCCTTGCTTGGTGCGGCAATCGACGGGCTGTGCCGGATCGTACCGGCTGCAGTACATGTGGCGCTGATTGAGGGGCCACACGTGGGGCGCCAGGCGCGTCATAAAGTCTTCCATGGCCAAGACACGGTGATAAGGACGCAGTGCCCTGAGTGAGTGTGGCCGGCAAGGTCGAAGCAAGAGAAACCAAGCACACAAGCGCAAGGGTGAGAAGGATAAAGCGTAATGGTTCTGCGGCAGCAACCAGCAACAACGTGGGTAGCGGTGTCGTGGGTGATCAAGCCAGCGCAAAGGCATACTCGAGGTCAAAGTAGTCGGTGTACGGCTCGAGGAGGATGGGTCGCTGCACGTAGCTGATAAAAGGTGGTACCACCAGAGTTCGGTTGGCGGACTTGGCCACGGCCAGTGCTCCGAGAAAGTGCGACGCCTACCAAAAGCAACCAACACGTTCATCATGCAATGTGGGCCGTCGGAAGAGCAGACACTGCCGGACCGCTTCACTACCACGCACCTGGTTGCCGAAGCGGCCCATACAGGGGCAGTAAAGCAGATAGCCGTTGGGATCGACCTCAGCCGCCTCACTGGGCTGAGCGCCAGGCACGAGGGGTGACAGAAGCAACAGGAGCAAAGGAAGCAACCCTCGCACATGACATGACAGCCAGCCCCCCACTGCCACCATCTCCTTGGAGGCGGAGATACCATCCGCTGCCATTCTGATCGGGAGCTCTCGAACACACACAGAACTGCGGACCACAAACCAAAAAGGTTGGTTAGTCAACTGTGCGGACATAAGTATGAGGCTCTCTCTCTTTCTAAATCTCTCTCTCTAAATCTCTCTCGAAATCTCTCTCTAAATCTCTCTCTCATCTCTCTCTCTCTCTATTCTCCAGTCATGCCATGCCAGACGGCAGCGCCTTGATGCACACTTGACATGAGGTACATCTGGATATGTGGCTGCAGGCGCTGGCCCGCATTGCGCTGATTAACATGTGAACTAACATCATCTCTTGCACTCGACGTAACCCTCACCCCAATTGTAGCCATAGAACGATCAATAGCTATGTGAGACTATTGCAGACACCACACGAATTTGGGGACCTCATCAAGAATGCTCTCTCGCCCGATACCCGACCATCCCAAAGGGCATCTTCGGCTCTTCCTCTTTCCTTGCCGCTCCCACTTTCAAGCCCCCGCCCCTCCCTCGCTCAATGCTTACGCTCACCCACACACACACACACAGAGTCATCCTTGCAAAAAAAAAAAAAATTCAAACACCCACATTCCCTCCGCCCAAATTTTTTCCTTCCTTCCAAATTCTCTCTCTCTCAAACCAATTCATTCTCTCTCTCTCTCTCTCTCTCTCTCTCTCTCTCTCTCTCTCTCTCTCTCTCTCTCGCTCCTCTCTCTCTCTCTCTCTCTCCATTTGTGATTTCCCAAATTTTTCACAAAAATTTTCTTCACATGTCTTGTTCCTTTTTTTTTTCTTGTTGCTGTTTTGATGTGAGAGGCTTTTTTTTTTTATTTTTTTTGTTTGAATTTCATTTTTGGCGGTCGCGCAGGCAGCCCGCGTTTCGAGGGTGCGTGACGCAGCGGTGGGTCGACGTTGGGGTCTGGTTATGCTCCCCGATGAAGGGTGGCAGGTGCCGTTAGGGTATCATCCGCATGAGTCTGCTTACTCATGTTGTGTTATGTGTTTTTGCCTCCTCCATTCATGGTTTCGCGTTGCCGATCCACAGCAGCTTCGCTTGGCTTCATCTGTCGCCGCGACGGTGCAGCGTGCCTGATCGACAACCGCAACAGGAGGAGGTTTGCCAGCCTGGGCAAGTCTGATTATTGTTGCGGTCTTCTCGGCACTTTTGAGGTGTGGTACGTTGCTGTGGTGTTTCGTTTCTCACGGTGCCGTTTGGGTTTTCGCTTTCTTGGCTCGAATCATGTGCGCGTCATGGCATGCCAGACTGCTTCGAACCATTCGCCCCGTGGCCATCGCTGAGCACCCTTTCTTGACAGCTGACCACAACCTGCTCCGGTGGATGCCTTTTCTCTCTTGTTGCAGTTCACAGCAAGAACGAGCCTTAAGCGCTCGCCTCTGCCGTACAGCCGCCGTCGGTCCAATTTTTAATTTTTTTTTAAGACCAGCCCTTGGACTGGTCCGAGGGTTTTTTCTCTTACTTGAGGTATGGACGACCGCATACTCCCCGTACTTTTGCCACTGCCCTGGCCCGTCAACGACATCATTCTCTCGACCGCGCCTTTGCACTTACCCCTCTTCCATTCATTGTTCATGTGCACTGTGTTGCCAGTTTCAAACCTCCTTGACGGGTCCTGGTTTGATGGTCCGCCTGTTGGACCATCGCGCCCCCGTGTTTCTTCTCATCGGCTTTTATTCCCCCCGCATTATTCCAGGCCAGATTCAATGGCCTTCGCTGCAGTCAAAGCAACGGCCGCCGGTGGCCAGACCAACGCCTCCACCTCACCTCCGGCGTCCTCGACAGGCTCAACGCCGGCCAATCAGGTCGACGGTCAGCCTGTGTACCCACCCCAACTGAGTTCCCCTGCACGCCGCGGGCCTGCGGCTTCGTCGGGCCAGTCATCCCTCTCAGCCTCCACCTCCAACGCCAGCATGACGGCCCGAGCCGTCAACGGTGTCACCGCGATTCCTACCTTTGTGGCAGCCCCGCCTGCCATCGCCATGACGTCACCGCGCGCTAGCACCAGCGTCAACTCTGGCCGAGCACCCGGATCGGCTACCATCAGCGGAGCGGCAGGTTCCACTACGGCCAGTCCCGGGGGTTCGAGCCGCGTGCCCAAGCGTGGTCCATACCGTTGCAGTCGCTGTGGTCAGATGCTCAAGGGCCATCAGTGCCCCTTCAAGGACTACTCTCCCCGCACGCCGCGTCCCACGCCACGCGTTAAGAGACCGTCAGCGTCGGACGAACCCGAGGAATCGGCCACTTCGGACGTCGCAGGACCACCCCCCACTAAGCAGCCTCGCTCACGGCCTGCCTCGGCAGACTCCATCTCCGACGTGCCCGCTGGCGACGCCAACCCTCAGTTGGCTGCCATGCAACTGCTTCGCATCAGCAAGCGGGCGCCCCCCGCGCCCGGCCATGGTGGTGACGCCCTGGCACGATTGTTTGGTCGATTATCAGCTATGCTGCCCGAAGGTACCGACCTGCACGAGATTTTCAACGAATGTGTCCATGAAGCCATTGAAACCTCTACGCCTGCCCCTGGCACCAACCCTGTCAGCATGTACACGCTGTCGGTCATCCGCAACCTGATTCAGCTTTCCGCATTGTGGGTGCGCGATGATGCCACCAACCAAATGACCCCCGCCCAGGGCATCAGTTTGGATGAGGCCCGCGGCCACGTCTGCCTGCATACGGAAGAGAGCGGGCCGCAACCAGCCTCGCGCTTGCGTATTGGCGTCTCGGGTCGCAAGACCAGCAGCAGTAGCGACCATCGCCCTCTTGCCTCGGGCAGCAAGCGGCGTGTCAGCCGGCGTCTGCAGACTGGTGACGAAGGCCGGGATGGCGGTGGCGGTGCCGGCGCTGGTGGGAAAAGCAGTGCCTCAGCTGATGACTTTTCGTCCGATGAGGACCGCAGTAATGCGTCCATCGTTCTGATGGCAGCCCGTGCATTGGAAGATGAGCAGCTCCGTGAAACCATCTCTCGCGTGTCCAACGGCGAGTCCTCGGATACTGCTGCAGGCCATCAGGAAGACGATTCCTTTGCCAGGGAGGAAGACGACGACGAGGAGAGGGAAGAGCATGCTGAATCATCCCCAGAACGCTCCTCCGACCGTGCTCAAACAGCTGAGACGTCCTTGCCGTCGCAAGGCGCAGAGACGACCGACGATCAGCGTAAAGCCTGGCAAACGGCTTTGGATATGGTTTGTCAGAGCGAGGGCATCAATGTTGCCTCGGAACACCAGGATTCGACCCGAGACCCGAAACCTTGAAGGGAAGCAATGCCTCCAAACCCATCCAGACAATTCCATAGCGTTTGTTCTCGTTAACCGTAGTTGTGATGAATTTGACCTCGTCTCGAATGCTCCGTGACAGGCAGGTCTTGTCTGATTGCCTGCTGCAATTGGTTCGTCGGCGACATGGCGCCATGAAGTCCGGTGTGCGAGCGAACCGCACCGACACGTGATATATTTCTAGTCTCAACTCGACGCTTCCATCGGCGACTTTTGCGATTCCGTCTTCAAGCTGTCTTCTCGCTTGCTTGTCACGCGCAATCCACCGTTTGTGCTGTCCGTTGTTGCCATTTTCTCTCTCTCTCTTTCTCTCTCTCTCTCTCTCTCTCTCTCTCTCTCTCTCTCTCTCTCTCTCTCTCTCTCAAACTCTCTCTCTCTCTCAAACTCTCTCTCTCTCTCTCTCTCAAACTCTCTCTCTCTCTCTCTCAAACTCTCTCAAACTCTCTCAAACTCTCTCAAACTCTCTCAAACTCTCTCTCTCTCTCTCTCAAACTCTCTCAAACTCTCAATCTCTCTCTCTCTCACCCTCTCCTCTTTTTTTTTCTTGTTTTCTACTTGACTTTCGTGTGCTTGTTTGTATTTTCCTGCCTTCAGCCAAAGCAGAGCCGAGATATCGTTTGCTCTTGAGCATAAATTTTGTTGTCGCTTTCTGAGTCTTCACTTTTGTGCGCACGGGCATTGTCTCTTGTGATGGTTGTGGAGAACGCGTGAACTGGGGTCCGGGAAATGTCAATGTACAGCAATCGATTCGATGCCCACTGCCGCTCGGCGGCCAGGATGTGCCTCTCAACATGTAAGATCACAAAGAGCGATTTATTTGAGGCGGTGACGTGCCAACAAGAGCGGGCTGGATTCGGCTAGCCAATCTGCACCTGCCATGTTCCCCGCCCCATTGGTTGGTTGAGCAGAAGCTGGTTGAGCAGAAGCTGGTGTCGATACCAAGGTTGGCCCTGAGCGCGCCTCGGGTGTGGACGACCCAGTAGCCTCTGGTGCTGCCAAGACCGGCTCTGCCGGCGCCTCATTTGATGATGGTGGCGCCCGAGGGTCTGGTACATTGCCATGACTGAGGTTGGGGGAGGGCACAAGGGTGAACTTGGGCTAAACCACGAGGAGCATGGCAGATTGAAGAAGGCTGCGTGAAGGCAAACTTACTTGATGATGCCAGTTAAAGACCGCAACTGCGTGAGGCTTTGCCATTCGGCCTGAATCTGGCGCACTTCGGCTAGACCAGCCTGCATGTCTTGTTGCAGCTGAGTCACGTTGTGTTCGCGGGCTGCGGCGCCCAAGGCAGTGGTGCCGGCCCTCAAATATCTAACAGGCAGGAATGGTAAGTTTAAAGTGATCCTGGCATGGAACGAGATCAGGCCCAGCGCCAGGACATGAAACCACTAGACGAGCATACTTGATTGATGTTCCGATGCCAAAGCCGACATGACGAGCCAACATCGGCAAACCGCGCAAACCTGGGAAGAAGACCACAAGGGCAAAAAGAAAAAATATGAGAAATTGAAAAGGATTCAACGGCCTCAGACAGGCAACTCGGGATTTTCAGCTGGAAAGCAGAGGTGTCTAAAGCCCAATCACGCACCAACGACGTAGCCGCCAACGGCGACGAGCAGACCCAATTCAGTCCAACCCAGCATGACGACCTGTATTGTTGCGGCTGTTTGCAACTCTTGCCGGCGCTGGTAGCTGTCCAACAACCGCACTTGCTGCTTTACATTCGCTATTAAAAGTCCCCAGATCTCCCTCCGCGCAACACCCACGCTCTCTGCCACCAGCACCACACGCCTACCAGTCAAGCGAGCCAGCCAGCGCTGCCGTATTGACCGACGTGTGAGATACTGTGATAAATACCACACTTTGTTCCAGTTTATGTTGAGAGCACACGTAGTTTACTTTAGAGGTCTGATTGACGCAACACGCTGATGTCAGAGAAGAAGACGAGACCCGGGGACGTTTGAGAGAGGCGCGAGTCTAGCCCGTAGCCGTTTCGTTGTGTTTCAAGCCTGTTTCAGAGAATTACAGCCAGCCAGGCACCAAGCCAGAGACGAGTGAGGATCACAAAAAGCACTGACCCACATGCATGTGTACACTTGCACGTTGCGACCGCGCGCACACACACACACACCATTCGCGAACACCAGCAGCACACCAGCAGGAGTCAAGGCCAGCACCACCACCACCAGCAATTGTAGCAGCTGTGGCCGGCCCTTTGTCCCGGCGTAGACCAGGCGCCCTTGCCTCCCGGCCTGCGCTTTCTTGGCAACTTGGACTATCCCTCTGGTGAATGGAACCGGTTTTAGCGCTGTGTCTGGTCGAAGCTGCCTGACGTTGGGGCCATAATTGGAGGGCCACTTGTTGGGCCGCGCGAACCGCCCCCTTGCCCGCGTGACAGCCAACGTCTCGCCGTGTACGCCTGCCCAGCTTCGAATTGCAGAAGAATATAATCAGCACCTGCCCCAGTTTGGACCACCTCAGGTTCGCAGCTTTCGCGAATGCGCACGCTCTCTGCTTTTATGTTTCCAAGGCAGCCCTTAAATGGCAGCCCTCCCCCTACATGCAGCCCTCACTCTCTTTGTGTCGACCTTCATGCACAACGCCCATCACCTTGGTTGTTCGTTTGGCTAGGCCTTTGCCAATCCCAGCGACAGCAGCGGCGGCGGCAGCAACAACAACAACAACAACAATACCAGCAGCAACAACAACGATACCAGCAGCAGCAACGATAGCTGTTTACACCAGCATCATGGCTAGCATGAACGGCATTGCTATCAAGCCCAACCCCTCGGATACGCTCGAGTCGCTGGGTGTGCAGTATGGCCTCTCGGTAAGCCCTTACTTTTGGCCCCAGCTTGCGCCGCTGATCAGCACCGTGCACGTCCTTGCCTGTCTGCCATGGCACCCTGACTTCAAGCCACCAGCGAGCCTTCATCCTTCATCGCTCATCGCCCATCGCTTGATTGTGGTCTGTGTTGCTCGAATGCCAGGCGGCCTCCATTCTCGAGGCGAACCGAATGTATGCGCAAGACTCGATTTTTGCACGCCCCTATCTCCAATTACCCGGCGTGACCCAGCCCTTGCCACAACACAAAGTGGTGGATGTCAAGTCACGCAACACATCCCGACGCAGCTCCGATGCATCGGCTGCGACCACTACGGCCACGCCCTCGGTTGACGATTTTCTCGCCCGCTTTGACCTGCAGTTTGGTGCCGTGAAGGAACAAACGGAATCCACGCTCAGGTACACCGATGGCTCTCTCCCCTCCTCCGAGTTTATGCCACCTGCTTGCCGTCCCCCCCCCCTTGTCACCCTAACCATGATCCACGCTCTGTTGAATGGCTGTGCAGCCAAAGCAAGTGGATGTCCGAGTATAGCTCGCAACCGGTGCAGTACCGTCCACGCGCAGTCATTCCTGTGGATGAACGTGAGGAAGAACCCGAAGACAAGTCAATGGGCATCCCATTGACATCAGTCTACTCAAGCAACCATGACGACGGGCTATTGCAAGGTCACACTGACGAAATGTTTGAGCTGTGACCCCACGACAACGTCCTTCCCTTTGCTTCTCCTTTGCCTGTTGCACAACACCCTCAAAACGGATACCAGGCGCAACTCTCTGCTGCCTGTGCTCTAAATGACGTTGAGAGAGCAGCTTCTCATCAGTGAATTCCTGTGTCTCGCCCATTCATCACCAGCTGACCCCGGGCCCTCCCTTGTACTGTGGCGTGGTGTCAACTTAATTTTTTTAATAATTAATCATTCAGTTGTAACAACATCTGCCCGCCGTCAATCTTAGTCCCTAGCATTTCCAGTTGCACCGACCGGTTGCCAACATCAAAGGAGGGGCCAGCATGTCTCCCGTGGTGCGGATACAAGCAGAGATACACGTGGAGGCTGACACGGTAAATTTTTCATTCACGTCGGCTATGAGAACCATCGTGGCACAGCCAGAATGGCTTCAACTTGGCATCAAGTGCACATGGTAACAGAAGGATCTGTCAAAGGTGCAATCGACGAGCTCGGATGCAATCTGCCCACCGAGGGGCAGCCACCCACACCGAGCGCCTACACGCCTCGTGTTTACACGTTACAACAACATCAACAACGACCGGCAATTGACTCGACGCGTTCACTTTGCCGCCTGCTTTGCCTTCTCCAGCTCCGCCCTACAATGATACAATACGTGTGCATGTGAGCCGCGGCGCCATGGTTCTAAACGTTCCGCCATGAAAAAACATGGGTGGTTGTCCAAAGTCGGGAATTTAAAGAAATTGACCAAGACACAGAGAAGCAGCATGCAGAGGAACCAAAAAAAAACACAAAGAGAGACTTTTGGAAAACAATAGAATCAAGAACGGCTGGGCGCTCAGCTGACACGTTATAAAACTCTCAGAAACGGTGAGATTGTGCCGGCCTCAACCCGCACGGGGAGGCCAGGCCCAGTCCCACCAAATCAAGCTCCCATATGTGGGATGAAAGAAATGTCGTCATCACGCCCTGGGCCACGGAGGCCCGGTTGTCAATCCTGACAACCTCGAGTTACAGCAAGATCTCGCAGGAACGCTCAAAGACAATTGGCTCACCTGAGCAGTTTGGTAAAGTCATCCTCCGTGTCGTCGTCGTCCCAGTCATCTTGCCATTGAGGGGCTTGCTGGCCGTCCTCCTCACTGGCCGTCCAATCTATACCGAAGGCCCAATACAACACATGCCACGATGGAAAAATAAATCAATGGGTGAGCAAAGGCCAAGACCTGCTGCGCCGACGAGCCGCCTCCAAGACCACCTGATCCAAAAAAACCCACCTTCCTTTGGGAACTCTTCAAACTCATCGTCATCCTCCAGCATGTTGTTTTCCGGGTTCTTGGATACGTCTGCCATCCTGCACGGTATGTTTTGCTCAGGTCCAAAGGCAATCTGTCTGATTCTGATTCGGTTCCAATGCGCCGGGCCAGAGATGAAACATGATGAGCCGCCGATACACACCGCATATCCAAAACGCAAGCCCACGCTTGCCCTGCATTATTCGTATAATAAGCATGCCTCTCTGCTTCAATGCCATGCGTGCGCACACATCTGTCCTTTTAGCCCAGCCCTGCCGCATACCCGCTGCCCTTGAGCCCCTGACCGTGCTGCCCGCAAGTGTCGTGGCCGTTCACTGACCTTGTCAAGCGAAAAAAGAAAAGTCGCTACGCTTTTTCTTCTCCCTTCTGGTTGGCTTGCAAGCAAGACACTTTTATCTGACAACTACAACGAATCTGATTCTTGTCTGCAGACTAGGAGACTAGGAGACTGGCCCTCGAGTCCAATTCACGGTTATCATCAGCAGTCCAACACCTCCTCCCTCATCCTCATCCTCCTCATCCTTAACCCGTGCTCTTCCTCTCAAGCTGCCTCTGCCCGTGGCTCAGCGCATCTCCTCCTCCTCCTCCTCCTCCTCCTCCTCCTCCTTCTCCTCCTTCTCATCATCATTGGCAGCAGCATCAGCAGCAGCAGCCCTCTATGCCCCCTTGCGCTTCTAGCTCTCTCTCTCTCTCGCTCTCTCTCTCTCTCTCTCTCTCTCTCTGTCTCCTGGTGAGTGCTGATGGTGGGCCTCCCTCACGCTGATGACCCTGGCTTTCAGTTGGGGTGCACCAGCAAAAGCAGTGATTGTACTCGAGCCAGAGAAGCGGGTCTTGGAAAGGTGACCAGCTGACCTTTTGCTCTATTGTAGGTCAACCCGATCAAGGCCACTCTGACCACCTCCCAGCCGTGCACCTGCGACCCCAGCCACTATTTGATATCAGACGAGCGTAAAAAGGGGCACAGGTGCTGCCCAGCATTTCTGAGCTGGGGTTTGAGCAAAAGAGACCATCCGACAAGGCCAAACGCCTTTGTCTACGATCTAGCCTGCTGGGATCAGCCCCAACGCGTGCGCCCCTGCCGTCAATCCCAATACGTGGCAGCACCATCATGGCACACTAGAGGCGGCCCGTTCGCCCTTTTTCGGATGCATTAGCCCCGACGACCTCCTTGCCCTCGCATCATTTTGTCAACGCCAGTGGAAGAGACAGCTGCCAGCCAGTCGCCATGGCTAATGGCGCGCACACAGCCGTTTCGGTACGCAGCTCAATGTTTCTTCACGCCCTCCCCTGTTCACCAATGTCCCAAACAACCCAGAACCTTGGCACCGCTTTCAACTAACATGGCGCGTTCCCTTGCGTCGGTGATGTGACAGTCAACGGTGCACCTTCGCAGCCATGCCATTGATGTCGCGCGACTGGCTTTGAGCGGCGACACGCTGCTTTCCGCATCGGGTGATGGCGTTGTGCGCCTCTGGAACCTACCGGATGGTTCCGAGCGTGCTACCATCAATGCTCATGAGCAACCCATATCCGACATGGCTGTGGACCCGCAAGGTCAGCGCGATCTCCGCTTGCACCCATCCACTCAGTTTGCTGTTCCCGGTCCAACCGGTGGCAAAGCTGCTCTGCAAGGCTTTCTGAAACGTCTCACAGTGTGTACTACCTTTGCCTCGTTTCCTCGTCTCGCTGCCCTACAGGTCGCCTCGTCTGCACCTGCTCATTTGATCAGACACCCCGACTTTGGTCTTTGAAAGATGGCAGCGAATGCGGTGCTTTAGTGGGCCATGATGAATGGCTGCGCTGCCTGGCCTTTGCACCCGATGGCCGCCACCTGGCTTCGGGATCGGGTGATCGTACATGTCGCCTCTGGGATGTAGAGACACAGCAATCTCTTTTGACAATGTCCGCCTTTTCAGATTGGGTCAATCTGTGCACGTTTGTGTCGGACGGCGGATCAAATATGCTTGCCGTCTCCGATTGGAGTGGCCAGCTGCAGCTCTTTGATCCCCGCGCCGGTGCAAGCCCCGTTCATCGGTTGCACCGGGGTGCCGTGGTCAAATCGCTGTGCAGCCGTGCGCCCGGTGAAGCCTTTGGCGAGACCGCGTTGGCTCTTGGGGATGTTGAGGGCACACTGCATGTTGTTGATTGGCGACAGGGCCAAACCATGTTCCGGGATACCCGCCACAGTGCCCCCATCAACCGGATACAGACGTATCAGGACAAACTCTTTACCGCCAGCAGTGATCACCTCATTGGTATATGGGACCGAAATCGAACCTTTACCAGCTTTGCCGCCCATGAAGACTGGGTCACCGATTTTTCCATTGCCCAGGACGGCACGGCCGTGTCTTGCAGCGGCGATGGCACGCTGCTGTTGTGGTCGACCGCCACCCTCAACGTCTTGCACGCGAGTCGGATGCAGGCCACCGCGCTTTGCTGTGCCGTCGCTGCTGACGACGAGGTCCTAGCTGCCGCAGTGGGCTACGCCAGGTCTGTGCCGCGAGGTTCAGGCGGCCCGTGTTTGCTTCGCTGAGACAGATTGGTCCATGACCTGCACATAGCGATTGTTTTCCACTCATTTTCGCGTTGGTCTCGCCCCCATGCCCTCGTTTTGTGTGTGTGTGTGTAGCGGTGAAGTGACACTCGTCAACTATCCCGTAGTCGGCCTCCACGCTGCCAACGCGGTGTCTGGTGCCGGCGCTGGCGCATCGTCGGGCGAGTGGTTTATGAAAAAGGGTGGTTGGAAAGTGGTGCGTGCCGTGCTACTCCTGGCGTTGCTTGGCTCGCTCGGCTCAGCTCGGCGGAGCAACCTGGCTGTGACATAACGCGACCTGTCTGTTTGCCTTCTTTTGACGTGTTTTGCAGACGGGTGGTATCCAGCTGACGGGGCGAAAAAACCGGTATTGTATTCTCACTTCCACGGGCCTCGAGTACTACGCCGGCTTTGATGCCAATGCTGGTGAACCGACCAATTTCAAGGGGCGCATCGAGCTTCAGGCCTCCACGACCATCCAAATCAAAGATGGCAACCGTCTCTTGATTGTCAACCCGGACCGCACCTGGGACCTAGAGGCGCGGTCCGCCAGCATTGCCCAACAGTGGCAAGACCGCATCTCGCACCTTATTCCAGGGCCTCCAGGGGCACCCATATCGGCTACTGCAAGAAGCTGACGTGTTGCTTCTTGTGCTAACGTTGTTGTCTTTCCGTTTTTCTGCTTGAGTTATTCCTCCTCTTGTCATTTTCCTCAGCGTCCTCTTACAATCGTCCCGTTCTCCGAGCCTGATTTTGCTCAAACGCCCATGGATGACCCTTTGCAAGGCCTTTAGCTTGCATGTGTCTATGTTCATGTCCTTGTCCATGCGTGTGACTGCTCCTTCTCGACCTGCTTGCAGTGCAGGCTGTTGTTTGCGTATTTTGTTTATTTGTTGTTTTTGACACTGTGGTCCACGACACCCTCCGCACTATTCTGCAGACTATTGAGTTTTGTTTCCCAGGCCGCCGCCATTGCATGGCCTGACATGGCGCCGGCGCCGGCATCGACTTTGTCCGTCATCCCATGGGCCGTGACACCCCTGGGTGCTTCCTTTTATTAGTCATCCATATGCGATAGCCTACCCGACCTGTCCCAAAGAAAGGCTTGGTTTTAGGTTTTAATCCTTCTGGTTTTCACATTTTTCTTAGGCGCAGATTGCACCTTGCTTTTGCTACCAACTTTTAATCGACTCCCTTTCATAGAAGCCATTCAACTCGCCCGCTGCTTGTCAACCCCGCTCGCCCTCGTTTCAATCAAAAGCGCATGCACACTTTGGAAAAAAAAAAATCGTAACATTCACGCAAGCCCATGTGCACCGCAACATGTGCAAGCATAATGAGAATTTTCTGCTTTTTTCAGAGATTCCAAACGCTCTCTCTCTTTCTCTCTCTCTCTCTCTCTCTCTCTCTCTCTCTCTCTCTCTCTCTCCCTCTCACTCTCTCTTGCTTTGCGGCAACAAGCACATTTTTTTTATTTTTTACTTTTTTTGGTGGCGTCGTGGTGGGTTGGTTGCCTACTCTATCTTGTCGCCTGTTTGGCAGCGACCCAAAGCAACTTGTGACGTGAGTTGCTGCGACGTGCGTCTTTTGCTTTTCACTCGGTTTGATGTGGCCGCGAGCGTGTGCCTGTTGGCTTTATGGGTCTGAGTGATCTGCCGCATGCTTGGATGGACGGGGGAGCAGGAGCTGCGCTTCCTACCAATGGCGCTGTGCGCCAAGTGGTGCGGGGAAAGGGCAAGAAAAGTGCCTGAGCATGGTCAAGTTCAATTGCACGCCATTCACATTGACTTGTCTCGCGTGACTGGTGTTGGAACAGGCTTGATGAGATATCACATCTACTGCCGCCATGGAGCCGACCGATGCTGGGGCAGCCCCCGAGGACCAAGATAGACTGCGTGCGTAACCTGCGTCATGTGACACTGTGGCCGGGCCGTGTGTTCCGCACCATCCATCTGGCTCATTTATCTCAACTGTCCTCCACCATCGCATTTGTTGCGCAGAAGGACTGACGCTCGAGCACGGCACGGTACGTTCGGTTTGCTTCTATGCGTTCCAAGCAGATGCCCAGTTGGGAATCATTTGAGCCTCATTATCTATAGATTTCCGCTGCCTACCGTGACCTGGAAGCCCTTCCGGTCGAACTTGGCCGTACGTTGCCCTGCCTTTTCTGTATACCACCTACTTGTCTACCATGCAACCGATCAATGTCGTCGATACTGGATCAGCTTGACCCTCACCACCGTGCTGCACTCTCGGGATTTGCTCAATGTCTGCCTATCAGAGCGCTATGGCACGCTCACGCGCCGACTGGATCTCTCACACAACATGCTCAACTCGCTGGAGGGCATTGCCCCCTTTACTGGACTTCAGGAGTTGGTGCGTGGCGGGCCATCGCGTTGCTAGCAATGCGTCATGCGCATGCGCTAACCCTCAACTTGTCCCTCTATAGATCCTGGACGGCAACTGTTTGGACGACCAGTTTGAATTTCCTTTGGAAATGCCTGCTCTTGAAACGCTTTCCCTCAACAAAAATCAGTTGGCCAACCTTGACCACCTTCTTGAACAAGTGCGCACCAAGGCGCCAAATCTTCGGTACGCACACAGCGTGCCTGATTTATTATTTTTTTTTTCTTTTTTTTTTTCAAAGGCCTCTGATAGAGTTGCCAGACCATGCTTGCCAATGACGAGGGATTCATGCTTTCCATGACAATCGCTGTGCACCCTTTTATCATCATGCTCGTGTAGGTTTCTCAGTTTACTCGGCAATCAGCTCTGCCCCAATGAACTCGTGCAGAAAGATGAAGATGATTACCAACGCTATCGGTGCGTTGGAGACAGACAAACTAAAATATGGACACTTGAGCGTGAGACGATCGGCATCAGAACGTCTTTGCTCATTCATCTTAATCACCGTGGTTTTATCGCACAGCTACTTTGTCTTGCACCATCTTCCCAATCTCAAGTTTCTCGACTCACGTCCCGTCACAGCTGACGTATGTCCTATATGCTTTCTTGCTGACTCTGCTGGTGCCGACCCGTTTGCCGCGCTGCACGACAGCACCTTGATCACTGCAACATCGCGAGGTCACCTGTCGTTTTTTTCGCTATTTGTCTGACTGCATCGTCAGGAGGTGAAGGAAGCGAGTCGCATTGGGGGCTACATGAAAATTGTGCGGATTGAAGAGCCTGAAGGACACGACGCCGGCGCAGATTCGGCGGGCGCTGATCAAGCCAGCTCGTCCTTCAATCCACTACCCCACCAAGAACGCGATCCACACGCACACCGCGGGACGCTGAGCAAGAGCAAATATGTTTATTATGGCCGCCATTCCGAGGGCAATCGGTTCATCCGCAACAGCGATCTTTAAGTTAACCGCCAAGCTTCTAACCGCTGCAAGGCGGAACGCAATGAAACGTGATGGGCCAGGTCTTTGGCGTAACTTCAGGCGCACCCCTCTGGTCCTGCATTGGGTGTGATAGAACCAAGGCTCGCAGTTTGAACAGTGTGCTAGGATAGAACGTTCGTCGTGTTTTCTCTCTGCCTCGTCCGCCACCACCAAGATTGTCACCACCTTTCGCCGGCTTTGCTTGTTCCACTCGTGTACATTCGCCTTGCCGTGTATACCTTATTCTTGGATCTGGGCCTGTTTGTTCTTGAGTGGATTCAACTTGTTAAGCGTGGGCGAGCGTGTTTGCTGTCGGTGCGGGTTACTGAACTTGTGTGTGCGTGTGTGCATGTTCAAGCACACAGCCTCTCTTGTTTGCTCTGTGTGCCGCTCAAATGAATTTCAAAAGAATTTTCGTCGAGTTTTTCCGAGTTTACGGCGTTTATGTTTTTGTCCATGGGTCTCATTGATTTTTTTGTCCCCTTGGTTGTGCTCAAGCCTTCTGAAATTGACTACGAATGCTGAAGTACATGTGAAGCTATTACGGGATCGAGAGCTGTTTGCAAAAATATTCTTGTGTTATGTGGTGGGTTGGCGGTGCACAAGGAGCAAACCTAGTTTGGCTTCAATTGATGGTGTTGCATAGGGAATTCATGCACCCCGAATGCGAGTGCGCACTTTTGAATTGAAGAGAAGAGTATCTCTCGCGATAGAAAAGCTTAAGAAAACCGCATCCAAGGAGCGAAAAAAAATGCAGACTGCTGGCGTTGCTCGTCGGGAAGAACGAAGGTCCATGTCCAACTGCTTTTCAAGCCAAAAACCACTCTCAGACGACAGCCACCGCCCAAGTCCTTCCCACACCCGGTGCTACCCCATCAACATTTGAGGGACAAACATCAGCGGGCGCCGCGGGGCGCTGTGTCGAGCTCACAGAAGTGGAGAGCAACCCCCTGCAATGGCCAAAGTCCTGATCAAGTGCGGCACTTGAAAGCGAGATGGGTATGGGTTCTGTGTAGGGGCCCATGCTTAATGGGCAGAAGAAGAAGAAGAAGAAGAAAAAGAAGAAAATGATGAAGAAGACAAAAAAAAAAAAGGACAGCGTGGAGAGAAAGGGCGGCGCTACCAGCTCGAGGGTCGAAAATTGCAGGGAGAATCCCCCCGCTTTCCCCCCAAAAAAAGAATGAAAGCAACGAGATGAACAGAAAAGGCGAAACGATGGCGGTGTCCGGACTATTGGGGAACTCGGAGTGTCCGGACCATTGGAAGCACTCGAAATGAAAATTACGAGGGAGGTGCACCAGCTGCTCCCTCAACCGTGCTCTGCATTTGTTGCATATGCTTGCCGACCATTTCATGGACCTGACAGAGAGGAGAGGCGAGCAGAGAGAAAGAGAGAAAGAGAGAAAGAGAGAGAAAGAGAGAAAGAGAGAGAAAGAGAGAGAAAGAGAAAGAGCGAGGAGAGGCAGGGAGGCACATGAGAAATCCATCTGCTAGCGACGCGGGCCGAGGCGTTTCTTGGGTGCAGCCGGTATGCGAAAAGCGCGGGACACACCTCGAGGAACTTGGCGACACAACGATCAATGCAAACCGACTCGCCCTTGGTAAGCTCAGGTGATTCACTGAAAACCTGGTTCACGCACTTGTCCTGGCAAGACTGCGTCAGCCTAAGCGATGCGCCAATGGTGGTGAGCCCTGCCGCCGTCGCGCTTCCAGACAGCGAGCACGCGGCTGCGGTTGCGGCTGCGCCTCACTTGTTGAAGAGGTCGGTAATGGCTTCAAGCTCGACCTCATTGGCCATCAATTCGTTGGACGCCATGTCTGCTGGTTGATTGATTACCTAAAGCAGCCCAGAGAAATGAGAAATACGGAAGGCACGGAGCGACACAGGACGGGCCGGGGACAGCAGCGCACCGCACTCGAAAAAATTTAAAAAAAAAAAAAAGAGAGAGAGAGAGCGCGCGCGCATGTGACTCTCGCACGGACGAATACAACCCCCTCGGAAATGTAATTATACCAACTATACCCTCGGACTTTGATTTGGTCCAGACGGGGGTCGTGGCCGTGGACGAGGTTAGAGATTGACCCCATGCTGACAGAATTCTGTTGGCCAGAACAGTTGTTGTCGCCCAGCGTCGAGGAATCGCGCTTTGGCGTGGGCGTGGGTCTGTTTGAATTGAGCAAAGTGTAGCGTTGATCACACAATACCGTTACAATCGTGTCCGATCTGTACACAAAGTGTGTTTATACCATGCAACATTCAACGCGAGTGCCCCACGTGTCGCTTATCCACTGCATGATTGTCAGCAAAAACCTGAATCGGTTTCATCATCCTTAGCCAAAACCCCTTCAACAGCCTTCAAGCCAAAGAGTCACACCACCTCTTTCCCTTCAACGTGTTGCAAGAGGTGCCCACGTTGACAGGTGTTGAACAGGTTTCTCGCGCTCCCTTTCCTGGCGTGCTTTGCCCTTTGGCCCCCCCTTTGCCTTTCGTGCCGATCTCGTTGTGCGCGCTTTGCTATTGCTATTGCTCTGGGTCGTGAATGCGAAAGATCGCCTGGCATTTTTTTTTTTTTTTGCAGGGATCATTGCCGCATCTCGTAGCTCTTAGCCGAGCTACTTGTCTTGATAGAACCTTTCTCGTTCAACCTGCGCCTGCCATCATGTGCTTCACCGGTGAAATGTCGGCCGGCTTTGCCGCCGTCGGCCTCTTCGCTTCCTGGTGGATCTACTCCAAGACCAACAACACGGAGCTGGCGTCGGGCGTCTTCTTCTTCTTTACCATGGAGTTTCTTCAGGCCATCCAGTACATCTACATCGCCTCGGGTCTGTCTGATCCCACCTGCGACACCTTGGTGAACCAGGTCCTGACCCTCCTCGGTTTCCTCCACATCTGCCTCCAGCCCTACTACTGCCATGTGATCAACGCCAGCCTCACCAAGAGCGAGAAGTACCGCGACCGCTACGTTGTCGTGAAGCGTCTGTGTCTCATCGGCGGCTTCCTCCTCTTCATGCGCTACCCCCTCTCCTTCGTGCCCCAACTCAACACCATGGACGTCAACCCCGAGACCAGCCCCTCCACCGAGTGGCTGCGTGGTGACAAGCTCTGCACCTTCAAGACCCAGAGCATGGTTCACCTCGGCTGGTCGGTCCCCATGGCCGATCCCTCCTACTACGTCATGTCTGCCTCCATCCACTCCTTCTTGATGTTTGCCCCCTTCTTCGCCCTCTACGAGAAGAAGGGCATGGTTGTTCAGGGTCTCTTCCTCTTCCTCTTTGGCCCCGTCATGGCCGCCTTCATCTCCGATAACCTTATGGAGCAGGCCAGCATCTGGTGCTTCTTCTCCATCGCCCAGATTGCCACCATGCTCTTCCTCATCCGCGAGACCCTCCTCATCCACTGGGGCAAGGGCAACATCTCCGTGATGCGTAAGGCCAAGGATGCCAAGTCCACTCAATAAGTGGCTGAACGCCGCACCCTGCACCCTGCACTACGCCCACCTGGCCCCCGTCTTTTATGACTGTCCTCGTCTTCCTACTCTGCGCGTAGTTGAATCTGGACCATGCCAGGGAAGGTTTCCTTTTGGTTCGTTCTTTTCTTTTTCTTTGTTGTTCCTACATTTGTGATGTTCTTCCTTTCCTTTCCTTTTGCTTTTTTTCCCTCGGTCCCTTGTCCTTCAGTTCACTTTAGAGTGTCTGTTCCCATGAAGGGCCGCCTGTGTGTGCGCGTGAATAGCAGTGGCCATGTCCCTTTTTTGTCGTCTTTTCCTGTTCTGGCTGCTGCTCGCCCCAGGCACCGTCGCAACTCGGGAGTTTTTCCCAGCTGTGCTGCGGCTTTTTCCTCTTTTCTTTTCTTTTTTTTTTTTCTTTTTTTGGGGGTTTTGCTCTGCCTCTTCCGAAGCCAATTGAATCCCGCATCAATCTTCATGATAACATGACCGTGTCTTCGCCCGCCCCCTCCTCTACGCCGGACACGATACTCATATCATCAAACAGTAATCCGGTCCGAACGATCTGACATCCGATGTCAGACATTTTATTCACAATGCGTTTGGCCTGACGAACTGCCTTTACACACACATACACTGCATACCAACTGCATTGCTGTGTTCAAGTCTCACACTTACGAGCCTGAAGCACTTCCTCTTCTTCTTCGTTGCTGTCGTCGGGGTTTTTGTTTGTTTCTCTCTCTCTCTCTCTCTCTCTCTCTCTCTCTCTCTCTCTCTCTCTCTCTCTCTCTCTCTCTCTCTCTCTCTCTCTCTCTCTCTCTCTCTCTCTCTCTCTCTCTCTCTCTCTCTCTCTCTCTCTCTCTCTCTCTCTCTCTCTCTCTCTCTCTCTCTCTCTGGCGGTCGTGCAGCGCAGCGGAGCGCTGGGGGGAACTGGCGCCTGGTCATCTACTGTAGTCAAAGCTCTTTGGATCTGGCTGGGTGCTGGGCAATCAAGGGGATGAGACTGGGTGCCACGGTCTCTTGCTCGACTTCAAGGACGCTTGGCTTGTGAGAGCCGGGCACTCCTCCCTGTTGTGTCTTGTCCCGAATCGGACCAACCTAGAGCCGTGAGGGTGAGCTGCTTTGGTGGGGCAGGTAAGAGTGATGCCTGGTCTTGCGCTCGACTTTTGCAACCCTGTTGGCTTTGATTCAAGCCGAGACAGTCGGCGCGCCCGAGAAATACAATGTCATACCACCTGCAACTGCATTTGCATGTTAGGTGGTGCTGGCAATTGGACAACCAACTGGTCTTTGGCGCGGCTCGGGCGGTCAGCTCAGCTTGGCTGAAGCTTTGGACAAGGCCCGCATCGCGCGGGTGTTCACCTCTGCCATGACCATGCAACCACCCAAGTATCTGACGCCCATCGATGCCCGTCAGGCCTCTTTCAAATCCCACCTCTTGGTGCGTCGAGGTCCCATCTCGCTCGTTGACGATTAACGACTGATCGACACCTTTGTCCTCATGGCTCATCAATTGACTGTAGTTTTCCTTTGATAGCGCTGCGCGCATCACGGAAGATGGTCTCAAATTTTCCCGCGATGTTCTCAGTCTGATCAAGCGTCGCCAGCAGGCTGAACTCGAGTACAGCCGCAGCCTCGGTCCGCACCTCTGCCTCGCTCCCACGACAGCCTATCCCCGCCTCGTTGGCAGCAACACACTCTCACCCAGCCACGCACACGCAAATGACATTCTAGAACGCATTCATGCTCAATTCAAAGACCTTGTTCCCGACGATAAAGCCTTGGACCTGGGCACCGTGACGGATGACAGTGCATCGTGCGTTGTGCCTCGTTGCCCAAACGCCTCGCCAGTCCAGCGACTGCAAGTTGGATGCCTCCCGCAACTACCTCACGGTCCTTTGTCTAATCAACTTCCTCAGCTCCTCTGGTATCATGTCGGGCGTCTACTTGATGATTCAGGAAACCTTTGCCACGGCGCGCCGCCACGTACGAGCTCCGTCCGTCGCCTCTTGGTCATTTTTCGTGTGCACATGTAGTGCTTTTCCAGTGTTCCTGCTTTTCCAGTGTCCCGCAGTGGCACATCGATCCAACGTCAACGTGGTTGCGTCGTGATATGGGGTCTTCTCCTTTGTTTGATTCGTACAGGAAATCATGGCGCAAAGATTGTTAAACGACGTGGTGGATGAACTGGCTCAATGCTGTCGCGAAACCGAAACATTTCGCAAACACGTACGAGCGGCGCGGCCTTTGTTGGGTTCGCCCGCGTTTAGCAAACCGAATGAACTCATGTGCTTTTGCCTTGCGTCGCCCTTCTTGCTCTTCTCCACCGCAGCAAGTTTTGGAGGGACAGCGCCTGCAAAAGCAGCTCAAGGATAGCTACACTGAGCTCAAGAGGCTGCAATCAGCCCATCACACTGCCACCAAGGAGGCCGATGAGACTCGGTCCAATCGTGATCGCGCCCAATCCAACCCTGGTGCCAAAGCGTCGGCCGTGAGCAAACTCGAAGCCAAGCATCAGGCGGCAGAGTCCAAGGCTGAAGACGCCCGCGCCAAGCTTCAAGACCAGGAGCAGGCCTGCAAGGAGGTAAGTTGCAAGGCGCTTTGCTCAGGTGTTATGTTTGTGTCTTGCTTGTACACTTGTACTCACTCTTTTTATTGTGTGCGCTGCCGTTCTAGGCGCAGCAAGATCATTACAATTTGCAAATGCCGCAGGTGCTGGAGGTACGTTGCAGACCTTTGAATCTTCACCGTGTGCTCTGCCGTTGCACTGGCGCGTCGACCCAATCATGTGCACGTGCGTATGTGCTTTGTGGCGGGTTCTTGTGTGCAGCAATTGGAGATGAAGGAAGAAGATCGCAGTTGGCGCTTACGCCAAGCCCTCATCCGGGCGGCGCAAATCGCACGGTGCGTCGGAGCTCTTCTTGACGGCCCAGAAGCTATACCAGCACCCACACGCTCTCTCACGTGCCGGGCTTGCCTTGAACGCATTCTTTTCGCATTCTTTTCGCATTATTTTGCCGTTTTGGGGTCTGTTCAGAGATACAACACTGGAAAGTGACGACGCCCAGCTGAAGCTGGCCCACGTCATTCAGCGACTGCAAGTGCGCGCCGACCTTGAGGAACGCATCGCCGAAGTCAGTTTAGCCTGGGCCCCTACTTGTCCCTGATGTCGTCTGTCAGGATTGTCGGCCCCCAATCTTCATGATCTCACCCATGGTGTCTCAACCTTGCGCCAGGCAAGCACCGCCGATGATGACATGGACATGCCTGTGACAAGCGTTGTTGCGCCCACCCTCAAAGCACATTTGCAAGCCAAGAGCATGGACACCATCAAGTCTGTAAAGTGCCTGCCATCGGCTTCCTTCGATAGCAGATCACCTGGCTATGTCACGTCTCATATCTGTAACACCTGCCTGCCCGCAATGGAATCCAACCCGGACTGAGCAGGCCTTTCAAAGACTATCTGTTTCTCGTTGTGCGCCATAAACGCCGGCTTTACCAATATGAATCCGACAACGTACGCAGGAACACTTGTTTCATCTTCATCGATCCGCCGTGTTTCCTGACCCCGTGGGGCTTGAACAACCGACCAGGGTGTGTGCAGTCAACTTGCTGTTTCATGTATATTTTGACATTCTGATGGCAGGCGGACCACCCCAAATTGGTGGTGACGTTACCCTTTGGCAACCGAGTTGTGCGACCCGTGCACGCATCCTTGTTTGGCCGACCGCACGTTTTTCAAGTGATTAATCAGTCAGTACAAGCCACCGAGGAGCCTTGCACGGGCGCGGGGCTGCAATCCGTCTGATCGTGTCGTCCTGCCTCTTTGTCGTTCCCTTTCAATCTCCTATGTCTTCTTTTTCACCTCGCTCTGTTCGCTGTCGCCGTAGATCTCGCACAATCTGCGTAGCATGCCCAGACCGGGAGACATACCACCGCTGGTTCAACGAATTGACGCACATTTGCCAGCCGCCCACCAACGTGGATCAGCGCCCACACCTCGTGCGCTCCATCAGTGTCAAGGTCACCGAGGCCAAGGAGCTGATAAAAAGTGGGGACTACGTAGCTGAGGTTTTGCTGGATGATGAGCGTCAAGCGCGCACACAGGTGGGCTCGTGCGTGCTTTCACCAGCAACGTTTGAGGAGGGGCACGTCGCGTCGCGCTGACCCACCGGAGTTTCCGTCAACATCGCTGCCGGGCGGCGGTGCCGTCTGTAGGTGAAAAGCGCCACCACCGAGCCGTACTGGGGCCAGAGCTTTGAATTCGATGATGTACCTCTGCAATTTGAGCGCGTCATCATCCAGATTGTCAAGTACGTAGCTGCCTCCCCTCTGTATAGTGAGCGGCCGAATGCAAGTCCCCAATGAGATCAGGCTCACGCTCACCCGGTCAACTTGGGTTTGCTTGACAGAGCCTCGAGTGCCTTGAGCGCGACGGCGCGGCATCAAGCTGCGGCCCTGAAGCGCAAGGTGGCGTCGATTGCGCGCGCTGATCCCTCGCCGCGCAAGGGGTGAGTTTGGTGGCGGTAGGGGAAGTAGGTCTGCCCTGCTGGTTTGTGCGACTGACGCTCTCGTACGTCCTATTGCCGGCAGGAGTCGAGTGTCAGCCACCGAGTTCTCGGCTGGCTCTGGCATCAAAGACCGACGCGATGCCGATGTCGTCGGGTTCGTCGTTCTTCTTCTCTTTTTTTCTTTTTTTTTATCTGTTTTTTTGTTGCTACAGTAATGTCAAGCTTCAGCGAGTGCGAGGTGTTGATATCATGGTGACTGCCGGCACGTGTGGATGCAGACGTGCCGAAGTTCTCATCTCTGCCAACACCATGGGTGGTGCGCACGACGAGTGGCATTCCTTACTCTCCGGGGACGGTATGGATCGACCATCATCGTTCTTTTTTTGTGTCCCATCCAGGGCCTGGCTAAGCAACATGTTTGAGCATCACGTCCAGCTGCCGTCGTTCAGATGCGCTCACGCTCATACCGCCGCTTCTATCATCTTCTCCACGTTTCCCCACTGTAGGTGACCTAGTTGGCCGCATTCGACTAAATGTAACGCATACCGGTGAGTTCTTGCGGCACCGAGCTCGTGTTGTTCGAGGGTTCTTTGCATGCAACGATTCCCAGCATGGCTTCTTGCCCATTAATTTCATGGTCTGGGCTGCTCTGCTTTGCTCAGATGAGTACATCCGGTCAGCACCAGTGTATAAGGAACTTCGAGATGCCTTTAAGCCTTCGAATGAGGTCTGTCTTTGTACTGCTACGTGTCAGCTATGAGCTATATCCGCAGAGACGTTGGGAAACCAGTCTAAATCACCACGTCATACTTTGGTTGTGCACAGCTGTTGCTTCCAATTTGCCAGCTGATGGACGCAGCGGTTCCATCCGCACAACGCGTCGATCTTGCGACGGTATGGTTCAGCCATGTGCCTTCCTTGCATTGCAACTGCGCGTCAAGCCGTCGAGCATGCCAGCTGTATCAAGTCCGGCGATGACTCAGTGCCACCTACTTCTGGTTTCGCCTGGCGTTTGGAACCACGTGAATGATAGGCCGTCTTGTCAACAGCGCAGGCCAACAATGCCTTGTTGTCGGTCATGATCACCATGCTTCGAGCTGAGGTGCAGGTGCGTGGCGCTTTTTTTTGAATCGCTTTTTGTTATTATTCTTTTGATTATTCCTTTTTCTTTTTTTTTTTTGAGAAGAGGAAGGAGGCCGGGCAAACTCTGAAAGTAGTGCGGGTAGTTGCGTCCAGAGAGACTTGGGGCTTTCTTGGTTAAGAACGGCGCTCACATCATCCAATGAGGTGTGGCTACCCTTTCTAGGCGGCAACACATCCGGAGACCTTGTTTCGCGGCAACTCGTTGGCGTCCAAGGGCCTGGACTATCTGATGAAGGAGCTTTGCATTCATCAGGGCACGTACTTGGTGGATATCTTATCAAGCCATATTCAAGCGCTGTACGACCTAAAGACATCATGTGAAATGGATCCCACGCGGGTGGATAGCGTGGATCCCATGCGGGACTTGGCTGCCAACGAAAAAGCTTTGGTCAGCTACGCTCAGGCGATATGGAAAAGTATTACGGGCGCACTCGATCAGGTGCCGCGCGAGCTGAAATATGTGTTTCACCACTTGCACTCATCGGTGCGCGCCAAATTCCCGGGAGATGAGGAAGCACCCAAGTCGGCAGTCGTCGGCTTTTTCTTTCTTCGCTTGATTTGTCCAGCAATCTTGAACCCCCAGCTCTTTGAACTGCAAGAGGACATTCCCGAGGCTGGCGTGGCACGGTCTTTGACGCTCATTTCTAAAGTGCTGCAAAACTTGGCCAACGGCGTCCTCTTTGGGCAGAAGGAGCCATACATGCTTCCTCTGAATGACTTTGTGCAGAAGCATATGGGCATGATGGGCACGGTGATTCAGGTTCTGTGCAACTGTCCGGCTCAGCAGATGCCATGCAGCCTATTCTTGCAGGCCGCGCCCCGCTGCTTTGCTCGACTCAACCGTCTCTTACTGGACTGCATTCCGGCCATGCCCGAGTGAGTTGGAAATTGCGAGGGTGCTTGGTGCTGGTGGTGGGCGTAGGGATGAGATGAGGATGCTTGGCTCGGGCAGGTGTTGGGTGCTGGACACTCAGCGTGGCTGTGTCGGGGTTTCTCATACGCAGGGCCATCGGGGACGATGACGCTCGACACACGGCGGCGGCCTTGTTGGTCGACGTGGTGCGTAAGCTTCCGACACCCACGGAGGATGAGCTCGTCATGGTTCGCGAGGCGGAGGAGGAGTATCACCGCCTCTTGGCCCACAAGCAAATGCAGCTCATCAATGAGGCTGAACGGTGCGTCGTGCACCCGAACATCATTGTGCCGTTTTGCAGGCAGGAGAGTGATTGGAGAGTTATATTTATTCACGCTATCATTACCCGTTTTTTTTTTTTGCTTGTGCCAGGCAACAGCAAGCTGCCCTCCAAGCTTCATTGGATGGGAGTAGTGCCACCACGCCACGTCGCTCGCGAGGAGCTCTGTCGGGCTTGTTGCGTCGTCGACCAAAGTCCTCCATGCCTGATGCTGCCGTATGTTGTGGCGATATGCCTTGATTTTCTTCATCTTGTGTTGTTTTCTGTTGCACCTATGCCGATTCATGGGCGGTCTGATCTGGTGTGGGAACGGGCAGGAGCTGTCCTTGTCTCGATCTGAACCGCCGTCGCCCTTGTTGATGCAACGGCGTGTATCTGACGCAGCACGGTAAGTTCGAGAGGCCATGATTTGTGAAATCGGAGGTGGCTCTGGACAATGCGGGCCATGGCGTCCAGCTCATGTTGATTCACGTGCAGGCTTCAGACACGCAGCAGCCGTTCACAGGGCCACCAGTCTGGGTACGTGCTGTGACCAGAGCAAGGCGTGTGAAGGGCTGGACATCGAGTCGGGAGTCGAGTGAACATGGGACATGGGACATGGGATTTCGTTGATTGCTCACCCATTTAATGTCTGGTTGCGTGTGCTTGCGACAGGCTTTCAATGGAATCGGGGCCAGACGACGAGGTGTGTGTGTGTGTGTGTGTGTGTGTGTGTATTCAGTTCTTGTTGATGGTGCATGGGATATCCGGGCTCATGCCTCTGTTTGGTTTTCGGATGGGCAGCTTCCGCAGTTTTTGGGCGAGATGCCACCACCACCACGAGGGGCAGAGCCGACGACGATGACGCCACAGGTTCTGCCCACGCGTTCTGCCACAGGGACAGAGCAGCAGGATGATAGGGATGAGGTTGATGCCGATCCCGACCAGCCTAGCCCGACGCGCCGTCTGACCCTGGAATACGAGGAGGGTCCGGGAGCCGACGGCGAGACTGATCTGTAATGAATTGAGCAGCTTCTAGCCATGAATCCGTTCAGCCCAATTCCGTTTTGTTTCTGGCCCACTTTTTTGAATCTTGGTGATCCCATCGCCAATGCCTCGCTGCACCATATTGCAGCCTTGATTGTATGCCCCGAACAAGCGAGTGTGAGCGTACCACCCGCTCCAAACGCCTCCACCCCCATTGCGCAACAACTGACGATGCTGACAATTTTCAGTGTGGGAGCTGCCATGATCCAAAAGTGTGATGACGGTTACACCTGAACCACCGCATGTGCGAAGCGCATGACAACATCATGATCAAGTCTAATGGGCAACGTTACGTGTCCCGATTTCATCTCATCATCATCACGTGGGAGAGAGAGAGAAAGTAAAGAGAGAGAGAGAGAAAGAGAAAGAGAGAGAGAGAGAGGCCTCCCAACATCAACTCTCCCAGCTGCTGCAGTAACATGACCGAACAAGCCTTTACACCAACAAGCTTAACACCAACAACTCATCATCATCATGACACGATGATGATGACACGCCAAGGGCAAACACCATTTTCACGTTACGTTGGTAACCCCTTTCCCAGTACGTTACTCGTTCCGCTATACTCGTTCGTTACACACACAGACATCAAGGCTCCTGGCCGTTGCAGCAAAAAAAAAACAAAAAAACCTCTCTCGTGTGTGTTGTGCGTGTGTGACGGCGCGCGCTCGCTTGGCTGGGGCTCTCTCTGGGGCTCTCTGGGGCTCTGGGGCTTGGTGGTCGAGTGAGACAGACAGGGTTGGCTACAGCTTACAGCTGGTGGTTGTTTATCACGACTGTCCGCGTCAGCCAGCCCCCGTCCAGCCCAGTCCCTGGCTTTTTTTCTCTCACAGAGAGAGAGAGAGAGTGAGAGAGAGAGAGAGAGATCCAGTTGTTGATGCTTGTGCGCCCACGACACACACCGTGCCATTCATTTTCTCTCTCTCGCACGGGTCGCTGATCACGACAACACAAAAACAATCAGACAGACCCTCGTATACGCCTGCGCACCTGCCATCCGGTTTGCCTTTGGAATCATAACGTCACAGACGGCCCGATTGTGCGCACGGCTGCCGACGCTCATTCATTGGCGTGCGCTCTGCTCGGTATCCCCATCATGTCAGCTGCCGCTGTTCTTCACGCTCTGACCTCTGCTCCGCCTTATTGGACCGCTGATGAGCAGCTGCTGGACGTGGCTGGTCGCGAACAAGCCCTTCTCGACGTCTGCGCCGAGTGCCACCACCAACCCTCTGCTCCGGTGGCCCTCACTTCTCAGCCTCCGACACTACCCACTCCGGCCTCTGCTGAGATGATGCGGCAACCTCATCCCGCGCCGACCGCGGCCGGCGCGTATGCCACCGAACCCGTCCCTGTCGGCCTCGATGGTCTCTCTGATCTGAGCCGCGTGGTCATGATCCACACGGGTAACGTCCGCCGGTACGTTGTGGCTCCTGGCTCCCAACACGAAATCGAGTTGACTTGGTGATGTTGGCACCTGCCTTGATGTCCTGCCTGTTGCCGGACTGACCGGATTGCTGTTTTTCCGCCCCTTTTGTGTGTGTGTGTGTGTGTGTGTGTGTGTGTGTGTGTGTGTGTGTGTGTGTGTGTGTGTTGCGATAGCTGCAATCACCAGTTGCACGCAAAGACCTCCACTAAGAACGAGGTAAAACCCGCTTCCGCCCTTTTTCTTTACCCTAGCTCTCATCTCTGTTGGTCATTATTAGTGCCCGCATGCGCTCATCCCGTTGCCTCATCGCGTACAGATCACCACTGCCCTCAAGTGCACCATGCATTGTTGGCGCAAGTACAATTCGGGCGACTATGTTCTCGCCAACGACGTTCGTACTTGACTGGCTCGGTTTCTCTCTGGTACTTTGAACAATCAGCGCATGCCCGTGCGTGCCATTCACCATGACTCAATGTACTCATTGCAGTTTATTGGCCATCCCAAACTCATGGACAAGATCAAACCCGAGGAGCGCGCTGAAAAGTCTGTCACTGCCAAGCTCTTTGTCCTTGACCATTACCGTGCAGGTTTTGCGTCAGACGCTCTGCGCAGTGGTACGTGGTTTCACCCAAAGGGCCCCGCATTTTTTTTGCTGTGCATTCTTCAACAAATCATGCTAGTAAAGGACGATGCCTCAGCCTGACCCTTGCTTTGCCAACTGCTGCTGCTGCCCCACATGTTCGCAGTGATTTCTACCTTGAACCTTGAGTACATTGATACCCTCATTGCTGACCCTGTCGCTGATGGACCTTCGAGCCTGACCTCCAGCGGCATGTGGGAGGTACGGTAGTCAAACACTCTCCCGACTGTTTTCCCAAGCCATTATCACCTTCTCTCTCTCTCTCTCTTTTTTTTTTTTCCTAAAACAGAAAACAACAAAAAGAACTGTTCGCCTCAACCGATTCAGATTGAAAGCTGAAAGCTTCATCTTGACTTCTTTCGATTTTGCCCCCCCTAGGATATGGAGAACCTTTATGATGCCGGCTTGGTTCGTCATTTGGGCGTGGCCAACTTGGGCGTTGATGCTCTTCGCGATCTGGAGGGCAAGAGTCGCCGCCGGCCCAGTGTCGATCAATTGGACGTTCGCACGAGCGGTGCACCCGCTTCCGACGAGCTGCGTGCGTATGCCCGAGAGCAATCTATTCGCCTCCAGGCCCACCACGACGCTGGCGCCACCCTCACAAAAGAGGATTTTCAGCACATCATGAACAAGGTTCTCCGTGGCCACGAGGCCTTTACGCCAAACTCCACGACACCAACCTCCATGACCCCGTGCAGCTCGCCACCCCGCTCGCCACCTGCCAGTATGCGGCACCCAGAGACAACGCTGACAAACAGCGATGGCGATTCTATCAACGTTCAGTGGCAACCACTTTGGGTTATGCGTTACACCGTCGTCGACACGCCCCGAGCGGTTGTTGAGAACATTGGCTACGTCATTTGCGGTCGCTTCGCCATGTCCTCGTGAGAGTCGTGAGCCTTGCCCATCTACGCTGTGCAAGTGTGTCCAGGGCCCAACCCGTCGCCGTGCACTAGGCCGGTGGCGGCTAACTGGGCCCTGTCTTTGTCTGTTCGTGGCTTGCCAGTCTTTCCCTTCCCGTGTCTTGAACTTGTGTCTGCATTGTCCTTCTCGGTCCTACTCAGCGGCGCCGTGCGCCCCAGACACAGGGATCAATGACTTTTTTGATGCCTCTACGTGCTGCAAACTCGTGGGGAATGTGTGCTTTCGTTCTTTTTTGTGACTTGTTGTGATTTGTGCTTCTCTGCTGGCGTGTCATTGATGTAGTAGCTGTCTTTTCAGCCAAGGTTATGCGGGCGCTGTGCCAGACGTGGCATGGGCGTCAATCCTCGGCTGCATCTCAGAATAACCGAATGGACGGGTCAACCGCGACTATCGATTTACGCTGGTTACCCTCCTCCCTCTGATATAAATCGAGTTAAGATTCAGCATACCTCTGTGCGCCAAAAGATAAAAAAGTGTCCATGTACAATCACGGCACTAGGCCAAAGTCCAGCCATAATGTTTTCACGCGTAAACGACACCCTCGCTTCTGGATGGACCTGGCAATCTAATTTCAATTAGTTTTGTGACGCGTATCGGCAAACAGAAATGCCACGATCCACGCATGCACACTGGTTATAAGGATTCGGGACACATTTATTTTTGCCGTCAGGAGTCTTCCATCAACTGGGTTTTTGTTTAGAAAGTTGCGCTGTACCTTTGGGCCCGGGACAAACTATTTTTGCTTTGCGACAAGACTCTTGCCCCAGGTGATCAGCGACGACATTTAGACGAGGGCAGCATCAAGATCGTCAGCATCCTCACGGCCTGGAATGTGTGGATAGCCAGGGCCGGTGAGGGCATCAGGCCTTGTCGACACAGAATGAGTCGTTGGAAAAGTCGGAGGGATGCTCAATGGAGGAGGCGGCATGCCGGCATTGGTGACGACCTCATCATTCTGACGATCGGAAGCCGCGGCCACGCCTGTAAGTGCAGCGGTTTCGAATGATGATCGGGACAGATCGAGCGAGGCCAACCCTCCGTTGATCAGCCGCGAGGCGCGTTGTGGCGGCGCCGCGGCAAGGTCAGCAGTGGTCAGGTGAATCAATGAGCCAGAGCTCGTGGGCTGACGATGCGTGGTATCCCCACTCACGTGAGTAACGTGTTGAAATCCAGAAGGGCCGGAGACTAGGCTGCTTGAAATGGACGCCGGCCGAGCAGGCCCGCTATTCCGACGTGGCATCCGACCGTCTGCGCTGTTCTGCCGTGGGAGGCGAGACTCACTGCTGTTGCGTCGTGGTAATCGGCCATCACCACGGCGACCGTGAGGAGAGCCCGTACGACCAAGCACGCCCCGGCCCTGGCCCGGGCCCTGGCTTGTCCGTGCCTCCAGCTCATGCTTGGCCGAGGCCGTAAGATCACCCAGCACGACCGCATCGGGGCCCATGTGCACTACATGGGCAAACCCCACGGGGCCACCGATGTCCGCTTTGTCAGCCCCCAAGCTGGCTCGCTATACCCAAGTGACAATGCATTTAAGGACGGCACAAATGAGGATGAAGGGATGCGAGGCGTGGTTGCAGACCCCAAGACATGTGCGCAGTCATGCTGCTGCTGCAACAGCTGTTGCGCAAACTGCATGCGGTGTGGCGTCCAACGCACCTTTCCACGCCTGAACCAATTAGACCAGGAGCGACGATCCGCGGAATCACCAGCAGCGCGCCGCGGTCGAAGGGGTACGGTAGGATCCATTGGGGCAGAATCCGGTTCCATGTCATGCATTTGTGTGGCACCGGCATTTAAGGAAAGCGGTTGGTCAAGCGGTGGCAGGTCCAGCGGGATGGCCCGCGAGACGACGGGCGAGGAATCAGCGTCTAGGTCACCGCTGGTGGCACTGATGAAGGAATCGGTGCGCGAGCCTGATCGAGAAGATCTAAACCAATTTCACAGAAAAGGCAGGTCAAGCCAAGACTTGGTCTACCATCGCTCCATCGCTTCAACTTATTCGTGGGCGCTTGCCATAGGTTTGAATTTGAACATACCCGCGACGACCCGAAAAGGAGCGTGTGGGATATCCAAAGGTGGCGGACGGCAGGTCAACCGAGTGGGAGCGCTGATGCCACGAAGCATTCTTTGGCAGGGGGGCGTCGGAGTCACGCCGGCCTGGTCCCGACTTGAGGACTGTGTCTTTTGTGACCTGGGCGCGAGCAGCAAGATCCTGCAATTGAAGAAGAGCCCGCGGTAGCAGGACGGCATCGGGGTGCTCCTCAGGCGTGGCAGCCAGAAGGACTTCACAGGTGGTCATTAAACTGAGAACAAAGGATCAAGGAACAATCGAAATTGGTGAGCAACACGATGGCCAAGGGTTGCAATAGCAAGCAGCAAGGTGCGGCCATTTGATTGACGCACGCAGCAAGGATGCCGGCTGGCGCCACAACACAAGCGGCAAATCCAAGATCTGGAGTCGGGCGAGCTGCCGCGGCGTGGAATGAGGAAGGAAGCTCTTGAAATTGGCGAGCTAGATGGTCCTCTGTGTCCTGCACAACGGCCATGGCCCGATCGTCACGCTCTCTGAAATACCATGCGATTAAACGATGGGTAAGGACTGTGGCCAAGGATAAAGGGGCGGGGTGACAAATGACGCGACAATCCTAACGCACAGGCTTGCCAGAGCGCCCAAGAGCCCATCCATGCCTCGCACATATGCCAGATGAGTCTCTGAAAATGATGCCTATCCAAAGGCAACCAGAGGTAGAAAGTCAAAAGAGAGAGAGGCCATCCTACTCGGCTGAAGCGAGACGGGCGAGCGAATGCTTGATCTGGATCTAAGCACTGACAGTGTCCTGGGCACCATCGAGCCGTGCGATCAGATCGCAGAATACGGTATCGTGGCGGTGGTGAGCCAGTCGGTTCGTCAACAGCTACAGAGCCGAGACAGAGGACTGCGTGAGTGACAACTGCTTGCAAACGGTGAATCAGAGGCCAGGGGTGCCTCAGGTTGCCTCAGGGTGCTCGGGGGTTGGGCGGATTCAGAGCATGAGGCATACGTGAAGTGCTTGCTGGTGCCTTTGACACAGGTCCTGGGTAATGTCAAAGATGATGGGGTCAGGAACCAGCAAGCTGGTCATGGTTGCCTACATCGATACCGGCGTGGTCAACATTAGTGAGCGTTGGTGTTGGTTAACCTAGTTGTGTGGCGTGACAGCTCACCTCTTGAAGCTGTAGATTGGCCACGTAACGCTGACGAAGCAAGCCGGCGCCCGCGGATGGCGGCATTATCCAAGCATGAAGGCGCAGATCGACGGTGAGTAATGTCGTCACCAAGAGGCTCTTTGATGGTGCCCAAAACTAGTGCCCCAAGGGTTATCACACACACACACACACACACACACACACACACACACACACACACACACACACACACACACACACACACACACACACACACACACACACACACACACACACACACACACACACACACACACACACACACACACACACACACACACACACACACACACACACACTCATGCGCGCGCACGTACATCAATAGCAGCAAGGCGAAAAGCATAGAGCTCAAGCAAGGCTAGCACTTTAAGGCAAGCCGCATGGCGAGGATGCTCTGGAGTTGGCAAGCCTCGACCCAAGCGCGGATCACCGCTACCCAAACAGCAGACGCAGGCAATAAGGGACCAGATGCACCATCGCTACACACAGGATCAGCTTTCTTTCCCACGCGAGTGCGGTTGTCTTGCAGGCGGGCGCATACCGCACGGGATTGCGGGACGCTAATACAGCCGCATTGATGGTGGGGAGGACGCGACGTCGACGTGGTGTTGCGTCGGCCATGCTTGGAGACGTTGCGTGCGGCGAGGCCTTGCGCGGGCTCAAAGGCTGGCCAGCCATCCCGGCAGCGGCCTTCATCTTGCGTCCAAAGTGGCCGAGATCTGGACAGGCAGTTGTCTAGCCGGCCTTCCCGTCCCCGTCCATATCGCTCCAACTCAATCAGGCGGACGGTCAAATCGAGCCGTGTTGTGTCGTCTATCAAAAAAAAAAAAACCCAACAGCAGTGAGACCACCCCGTGCCTGGACAGCCATCATGCATCCATGCATTCAGCATTCTCTCTTCGCCCACCGGTGCACTACGCTACGAGGCACTCACCCCGATCCGAGCGACGCGCGACAAAGCACGAGTCGCTGCTGCGCAAAAGTGCAAAACACCCTACACACACAATTTGAAATAAAATTAAATTTTTTGAGAACATTTTTGACTCTTTATATAAAATATTATACATTGCTTTTGACGATGCCAGTGGTTTGCACTGGACACAACAAATTCTTTATGTTGAACGGCTGTGTGGCGCAATGGATAGCGCGCTGGACTTCTAATCCAGAGGTTGCGGGTTCGAGTCCCGCCACGGTCGCCTTTTTGGGCGAGCCAGGCTTGCTCGCCTTGCGTTGCGTATCCGTTCGTGTGAGAGGTTGCCCGCCGTTTTTGTGGGACCAGGGGTTGGTAAGGTTTTTTTTTCCCCTTTGTCTCTGATTGTTTTGACTTGACATGTTGCTCTCTTTTCGATCGAGTTTGAAGCTTTCTGGTTCAGTGGGTTGCTCTGCGCGGTGACAATCGAGTCATAGCAGAAGGAAGTGTCTAGCTGAATTCAACGTTTTGCTTGTTTGTTTGATCAGATGCGTATGCATGGTCAGAGACCGAGAGAACCAACGCCGGTTCTGGTGTCCGCTTAGGCAGAGGAGGCACCGCCACCCATGTTTTTACCCAACTGAGACAATTGGTCCAAATGCTCGGTCGGTCGAACGAGCTGCGAAACGCCGTAGATGATATTCCGCTCCTTATGGCGCTACAGCAGTGACACACTGGGCATGAGCCTTGGGGCTGGTCTGCTGTGGTGAGGGTTAGAAGGCGGGCGCTTCTTACTTTGCAATAATCTTGCAGGTTCTGAAACTCGGTGTAGTTGCCCCCTCCCACCACAAAGACCAGGGCTTGGTCAAATGGAGCGCGGTGGCGTGGCAGCTCGGTTGTTCCTCGCTTGGGATCAAAGTAGGGGTAATCCTGTGGCGAAAAGAACGGAAAGAACAAGGTCAGGGTTTGCAAAGAGCAAAACGCCCATCGCAATTCGGGCGGACGAGAAGTCCTGCCATTTGCATCAACACTTTGCAAAAGATAACGCACCGCCACAAGTTCTGAGGTCCTGTTTTCCATCAGCGCGTCCACGATGCGAGTCAAGGGAAGGTCACCTGACGTGGGCATCAAGGACTTGACGCCCTGCAAAAAGCTGGCACCTTGGCTCAGCGTTTTGCTGAAGGAAAAGAGCCCACCAGAACTAGAGCACCCCATGATATGAGCAAAGATTTTCAAATCAAGCGCCAATTTGACTATGCACTGAGCCTCACTCCCTCACCTGTGGCTGGCCAAGACAGTGGGCTGGTGCTGCATGTGCAGCAGTTCCTTGAGCTGGTTCAAAAACTTGAGCGACGACAGATCACAGCCTTGTTCAGCCAGCACAGCCTCACACGCCTCACGTTCCTTCTCCGATGCATCGCCGTCCAACAAGTAGATGATATACAGACGTAGCCTACGGGTGGTCACCGTCAGCAGGAGGCAGGGGCAGCGCGTGCAGAGGTCAGTTGCATTTCATGGTGAGGGCGTAGATAGGCATGGGTATGCCAGTGGCTGCAAATGGAGAACAAGCTGGCCATACCGATCTTCAAGCGTGCCAGCCTCTGGGTTCTTGAGCATGTCCAGGACGGGAATGCTCACAGTCTTCTTGTTCATGACTTCTTCTTCCGTCTGAAAGTACTCGTCCAGCTTGCGTGAACTGAGGTTGTCCATGATGCTTGTCAACAGGGACTAATATCGATTCAGAGACAAGTGAGTTAGTAGGCACGCAGCAGCCGACTGGGCACGCGCGTGCAAACCAAGGTCTATCGTACCATGTGTGAATTCAGCATCGAGCGCTGCTTGAGCAGCTCTGGCAGTGAGCTGTGGATGACCGATGAACAACGGCATGAGGTGGGTCAAAGACGCAAGCAGAGCTGTTAGCTTTCGTTCTCCTTGGGACTTTCAGAACGTACTTGACGGCAGCCGTAATCTTGCTGGTTTGATCACCCGAATCAGCCTCGGCTTCAGCACCCGTGCTAGCGGCAGAGCCCTGCAAGGAGTAAGGATATGGGACAGGGGATGAATTGGTGGGGTGGACCGAAGGAGCTCAGTAAATGGCTGTCACGCATGATCTGCAACCGCGATGATGCCAAGCCAAAGAGCGCGCCATGTCGTGCCCCAAGACCGCCTTGCACCGGGATACATACCAGGTTTTTGATCTCCTTTTCCTTTCGCGTGCATTCCTGAAGTTCTTCTTCAATGGCCGAGGCCACCACGGGGAAGGGCTCGCCCTTGTAGCGTTGCCAAAAGCGGTCATCCTTGTCCAATACAATATCGCGACGCTTGGGAGACTGCCCTTCCTGCTTGGCCTTTTCCATGATTGTCACCTTATTCGACTGGTTCACAGGCACATGACGGGGAGAGGACATGAGCGCCAAAAATGGATCCACATGAGGCAGTTTGAAAAGTTGGCGGCAACGTTGGATCCCATTCGCACCTCAAGGCCCAAAATGTCGTGAACCAGGGCTTGATAGGTCCAGGTGTGGTGGAGCACTGTTGCCATATCCAGCTGGCGATCCAAGAGCACCAGCACGGGGCGTTGGAAACTGCGAGCGCACGGACGAGCAGCAGTGCATGCACCGGGGAATAAGAGTGGTCGCTTGGTCTTTGCTCAGTGCATCTTGGGAGTCTTGGGCAGCCATACAAAGCACTGATTCAGTGTATCCCTTGTGTACCTGCCAGTGGCGGACATGCGGTCCTGAAACATGGTGCTTCGGCTGTTCTTGAGCTGATCACGAAACTTGCTGTTGAGGCGGTCCGCAATCTGAAAGGCCGCATTTCTATTGCAGGGGTGTATCGACCAAGGCAGCGAATTCATGAGTGGCATGCCAACCAATCTTGCAAGCACGAGGCCCAGGACCAATTACAAACTTTGGTGAACACCGGATAATGGGCACAACACCCAAGGTGACGAAAACGGAGAACAAGCCGTCCACCATCTCGTTCATAGCTGACATGAGCTGGTGCTCACTTGCGCCCTGTCAATGAGTACAATCGGACGGGGTGGAGAGACGTATGACACTGGTGAATGTTGATGGATCTCACGGTGGGCAGGGTGAGAAAACAAGTCATGAGATAGAAGGCTCAGGATCACGAAGCAGACCTCAGCGTTGAGAGAGCCATAGGAGAGCGCATCTGGTTCACTGGGGCACAGGGAAAAGAATTCATCTTCCAGGGCGACAAAATTGGAGTACTATTACCAGCGAGGTTTTCAACATGGGAAGAGGAAGGATCGCGAATGAGAGAAGCAAGAAGACGCGCGAGGAGACGCGCAGAGGAGAAAGATGGAAAATCGACGACAAAGGAATCCGTGAAGCAGTTGCTTGGGGTCGGCGCGCACGGCAGACACACCATGTCATACACTCGATGAACGTCTGCGGCGACGCCAGCCTCGGCGGTGGTCGACGCTAGTTCCTCCAACAAGGGTCGTGGCACCGTCGTGATGAAATTGATCTGGTAAGACGCTGTGCCAACCACGAATGGGCGATGATTAATGGAGTGAGGGGCTAAAGCCGCAAAATGGACCTTGTCATGAACACTTGGCTCAGCCTGTGCTTCCATAGGGGGCTAACCGTAGCGGCGCTCAATGCAGTCGCGGCAGATTCGCTTGATGTTGGCTTCCGTGGGCATCACGAAATAAACAGCAGGGACGTCTGAAGAAGCACGGGCCAGGAACAGGACCATAAGCCAAAGGGGGCAGTAGAGACCAGGAAGAAGCGCAGGGGTGGACGCAGGGCTGCACAGGCACGACTCTGCGGGTTGTATGCGCCTGCCTGGTGGCAAAAATTGAAGCGAAAAACCCACCATGGATGGGCTCACGCGATGCTTCAATAGACACGTGCAGCGTCACACCCAGGTCTCGCAGCTCGGAGACGTTGAGCAGGGGGGCGAGAATTTTCATGCCGATTCGATCGTAGATCAAAACCTACACGCGCGTCAGACAAGCGTCAATCAAGCTCGTACCATGCTCTGGAGCACCAATTCGTGTGGCCTTGTGTGCCAACATGTCACTGCGGACCTTCCAGTCGGGCATGAAGCTACGGGCACGGCGAGCGGCGGGCGTCGCGCCGAGCATGGCCTCAAGCGCCTCTCGCTGTGCTGCCTGCATCGACGCCATGGTGCCTAGTGCGCAACGTCTGCGTCAAACCAATCCTCCAGTCAGATCAAAGACCCTGTTCAAGGCACATGGCAAGGAATCAGTCTCGTGCGTCAGCCCACTGCTCCACACAAGCTCGCGCCTGCTCAGCACTCCATCCCGAGGACAGCGAGTTCAGCGCAGTGACGCTGCCATCATACCTCAACGAGCAATGATTTTTTTGCCTCAAAGCACAACAAATAAATTTGACAGCTGTTGTCGACACCTCGCTCTTTTGGCGGGAAGTATACGGATTGTCGACAAAGCTTAAGCAGCGTTTTGTAGCAAAAAAAGACATTGATGCTGATTTGTTAACATGACCAAGCATGATACGTGTCGCTAAAGTTGTAGTTGTGGTAGTTGTGTTTTACCCGCTTTTGTTCTCTGGTTTGTGTGTTTTAATTTTTTTTCTTCCGACTGCCTGCGAAAATGGCAGTGGGTCAGATGGGGCGTTGTAGAGCCCTGCTCGGGGCCCTGCTGTTGCTAGTGGGTGGGATCGGCATGGCCGGCGCTGCTGCTACTACTACTGCTGCTCCACCAGAGTATCCTTTTCGTAACCCGGACCTGCCATGGGCTGCACGACTTGATGATTTGGTCGGTCGGCTGACGCTCGAGGAGAAGGTGCGTGATCTGGTGGCTGACTGTCGGTGATCTTCAACACGCACGCGCAGATCAGCGCCTGCCATAAAGAAAATCTTCCTTGGGTTGGTCTCGAGTTATGCTCGCCCCTCATGGTCCTCCTCCTACGCTGATGCCGACAACACAGCTACAACAGCTGCAGCATGGCGGTGCTGCACAAATGACACCAGCGCCCGCTGTCGAGCGACTTGGGATCGGGTGAGTCCGCCCCGGTGCGATGGATGAAAGAACTCGTTCAAACGCGGCACAGTGCGCTTTCTATATCCTTCTGATCACCACTTCGGCCTGCGCCTGTCATGCTTGCTTCATCTCCCCCATCTAGACCCTTTGTCTGGGGCTCTGAGTGTGTCACTGGCCTGGGCACTGATGGGAATGATCCTCACGGCACGGCGTTTCCTCAGCCGCTGGGCATGGCCGCCACATTTGATCCGGCCCTGCTCAAGCGTGCTGCAGGCACCATTGCACTTGAACTGCGCGCTCAGCGCAATTTTGATCGCGAGGTATGTCCTATACCGTGTTTGCCATCCCACCGTCGCGGACTCTCAAAAAGTCTCACCTTATCGTGGACATCCTCACTGCCTAGAATGGCGTCGTCAAGTTCCATCACGGTTTGAGCTGGTAGGACTGCAAACACGCCTGGAGATCTTGGTGACCTTTCTGGTTATCGATCACCGCTGATCTTGGTTCGCATGGTGGTGCTGCGGTAGCTGGTCTCCTGTGGTCAACATCAATCGCCACCCTTTGTGGGGTCGCAACGACGAAACCTTTGGTGAATGCCCCGTTCTCAGCTCCTTCATGGCCCGAAGCTTTGTCGAGGGCATCCAGGGCAACCACACTCGATACTACGCAGCAGCCGCCGCCTGCAAGGTATGGTTGCCGTGTTTGGCCCAGAGATCTTGCCCTATCAGATGATGAATTTGATCCATTGAAGCAGCCCATGATACTTTCTCAAGTCGGCTCTTTGCGCCTGATCCATTTCTAGCATCTGGATGTTTACGGTGGACCAGACAACCTGCGCTACGTGTTTGATGCAGATGTGTCTCAGGCCGACCTAACGGGCACCTTTCTGATGGCCTTTGAGGAATGTGCCGCGGCTGGTGTAATGGGCTACATGTGCTCGTACAATAGCATTCGAGGCGTCCCGGCTTGTGCCAACTATCGAACCATGACTTTTTTCGCCCGCGAACAGTGGGGTTTTGAGGGATACGTGGTCTCGGATCAAGGCGCCGTCTTTCGCATCACCGAATCCCACAACTACACGGCCAACCAGGTGAGTGCGAGAACGATTTGCCATCGGTGAAGCAGCCTCTTGACAAGCGCGCGGCTGTTGCTTGTCGCTCTTATTGGGCACTCCCCCCTCTTTATCTTATTTTCTTCTCTCACTTTTTGAGCCATCTGATCTGGCTAGACGCTGGGGGCCGTAGCTGCGCTCAATGCCGGCTGTGACATGGAGGACTCGGACGATGCGCAACATGTGGCTTATTACAACCTCAGCCTGGCTCTAGACCTCAAGCTGACCGACATGGCCACAATCGATGCTTCCGTATCCCGTCTTTTCTACGTTCGCATGCGCCTCGGCGAGTTTGACCCACCCGAGGTACGCTCACATTCCGCCCATTGTTTTGGCCAGAAGCCATCCTGCTTTTCCAGTAACCTCACTTGAACAAACGCTTTTGCGCTTGAAAGAATGATCCCTGGCGATCGTTGAATATGAGTATCGTCTCAAGCCCGGCACATGTGGAAATGGCTCGCGACGTCGCCACGGCCAGCATCGTTCTGCTTAAAAATCAAAACGAGACGCTACCGCTGTCGGCTGCCGCCAAGAATGCATCCTACTGCCTGCTGGGCCCCTTTGCGGATAACGCCGACCTGATGATGGGCAAATACTCGCCTCACGGCAGTACAAACGTGACTGTCACGTACCGCGCTGGCCTTGCAGCCGCCTTGCAAAACGCCTCCCAGACTGGTTTGTTCTGCTATGCTCGATGGCTTGCTGCACTCGCGCGCGGATGGTGTCATCGTTACATGCACGGTCAAAAGTGTCACACTTCTGCTCGAGGCGCCATTCACAGACACGTGCTCGCTCCCTCCTATGCAGCTTCGTTTCAATACCTCGAGGGCTGTACTGGCCCTTTTTGTGACGGGCTGGACACGGCGGCAGTTACTACCTTCATCCAACAGGGTAAGACGCGTGGCGTTCCATGGTCGCAGAAAAGCGTCAGACATGCATGGATACATCTGTTCTGCTGGGCTGACATCTCTCTGTGTCCCGGCACCTGCTCCCATAGGCTGTGATACCGTGTTGCTGGCCGTGGGCACGAGCTACCACGTCGAGTCGGAGAGCTTGGACCGCTCTAACATGAGCTTCCCCGGAGCCCAGCCCACCTTGGTGCAGACCGTCTTGGAGGCCTTGGGCACAAAGCAGCGGCTCGTCTTGCTGGTAGGTTGGAGCACATACTTAAATGCCTGCCTATCGTGCGTCATCAGACCGCTTGCTCACTCCTGCCCCTCCTTGACGATGTCTCTCGACCTTTTTTCCTGCTGCGGCTCGCCATCAGGTCTCTACCGCGGGACCCGTCGATCTGGCTGCCTTGGAGCAAGACACTCGTGTGGCCGCCATCTTGGACCTGATCTATCTCGGTCAAACAGCGGTATGCCAAGTAAATGTGCTCCACGTCACAGCTGCTCTCCTCTGCAGGTCTTCTTCACCCTGACGCGTGGCTATTTGTGGCTGTTTCCGAATTGAACTTGGTTCACTAGGGCACGGCGCTGGCCGACATTTTGTTGGGCGAGACAAGTCCGTCAGGCCGGTTGGTATGACGTTCCAGCTCCGCTGCCTGTGACTAGAGTAGTGTGTCAAATTCGACTGCGAGCATTTCCTCTTTTAGCCTCGACTGATCGGCCATGTTCCCGGCGTAGTTTACCTTTTTCTTGGCCGAACAAGGTGTCAGATGTTCCCCCCATTGACGACTACACCATGCAAGGTCGCACGTATCGCTTTGCACAAGCCGACGGTTAGCTTGCCTGTGTTCCGTGTGGATGGCTTCTGCAGTTTTCGCCATGATCGTGCTCATTTCTGACGGCTTGGGATAGTGCTCTTCCCTTTTGGATATGGGCTGAGTTACACCCAATTCAATTTGAGCCATCTTGCCGCGCCCTATATCTTGCCCGTTTGCCAAGCCCTGCGGCTTTCGGTCAACGTCACCAATACGGGACGTTTGTCAGGTGCCATCCCCTTGCAGGTGTATGTCGAGTGGCCCAACGCAGTGGGTGGTCCCATTCGTCAGCTTGCCACTACAACGCGCGTATTTGTTGATGCCGCGAGCTCCAAGACGGTGCAGCTCAGCATTCGTCCCCGCGAGTTGGCTCGGGCCTCAGACCTCTCGTACGTCTTCAACGCATTGTCATCACCAAATCGTCCTACAAATTTCCCCCGGCCCCCTTTTTTTTTTTTTTCAAATTTCCTTGAGCTTAAAGCTGCTCCAACCGTGCATGTGCACGAGCTGGGCAAGGTATCCTTGTTCCATCTGCTCGCGCTCACGACTGCCGTCGGGTCAACCTGTGTGCTGCCGCGGGAGTAGGTGTTTCGCGCCCAAGGCGGAGCGTTTGGAGGGCAACGTTTTGCAAAATGTCTCGAATGTTCAGAACCACGGTCAATGCTGCACGGCATGCCAGCAGTTTGGTGATCGATGTGAGGGATACCGCTTTGCCACCGATAGCGGCACATGTGAGCTTCTAAATGAATTGCGCGGCCCTGTTCCTGGCACGGTGACGTCAAACTACGAGTCGGCCCACGTGGCTTCTCGCCTGGAGTTACAGACTGGACCTCTAGAGATTTTTGTGAGCGACCAACAGCCCACTGGTCCACGAACAACGGGAACCAATGTTCTCCACACGCGGGTACAGCTCTCGGGGAGTGCTTTTGTGTCTGAGTGCCTGTAGAATGGGACTGTCGGCTGCGTTTTGTTATCTTCCTTGTTCGCCGTGTAGCAGTCGAGTTGAGGCTGCCTGACCAAAAGAAAAAGAAAAAAAATTGATTTAGCGTAGTTGAACAAAAACAAAACAACAAACAAAACATCAGCTCTACCCAGTTCTGCACCGCATCGACGCCAAGACGACAGTCAGAGGACCGCTTCTCCTTGTACAATCAGTGAATAACAAAAGGTGCAGCAAGATACCACGACGGGGCAAAACACGGAACGCCATAGAACTGTCACGCTATGATCGTGGGCACACATGCACACATGCTGGAAACGACGATCGTATTTTTAAAGTTCCGAGTTGGCTCAAGCTTGAGTGTCTCCCTTGGGCTGAACAACGTCCGTGTATGCGGGTGGGGGAGCGACCTGCAAGAACAGCAAGACAGGGGGAATGAGTTCAGGCAAAAGTGGTTCAAACAAGCGAAGGTGAACTAGGGGCGCACCGCTGAGGCCGTCGATGGGTTGGGGGGATATGCCGCTGCTGATGACGTGGGATAAGCAGCGCCGTAAGGTTGAGATGGATAAGGAGACGCAGGTTGTTGTGGGGGATAGGACTGCTGGGGCGGGTAGGCGGTTGGAATCGACTCGGGGGAATACGTGGAGGCCTGCTGCGCTGGAGGGGGGTAGGTCTGCTGCGCTGGAGGGGGGTAGGTCTGCTGTTGCTGGGGTGTATAAGTCTGCTGTTGCTGGGGCGGGTAGCTTTGCATTGGCACCTCATTGCTGTTGGTTGCGGGACCGGCGGCATTGTGTTGCAGCGGAGGATAATGTTGGTTGTAGCTTGGTGGAGAAGCAGGCGCACTGCAGGACAAACCGGCCAGTACCGAGTGAGGGGTAACAGATGCTGATGAGCCGGGCCAGAGGCCGCTGTGTACTGTCTCGGAAAGGCGCCACGTCATTATAGAGCAAACGCACTTGTTATAGTATTGAACTGGCTGGGCTTGGCCTTGGTTTTGCACCTGGACCTGTTGAGCGCGACGGCGCCGGCTCTGCGAACTTGCATACCTGCGGGATCTTCTGTTAGCAAGCGCTCAAAAATGGGAAGGAGTGGATATTGTCAAGCCAGCAATGCTCACCAGCAGCCAAAGCAGATGCAAAAGCCAATGGCAAAAATAGCAGCAAAGACGCTTCCAACGATAATGCCCACGCGGCGGCACTCGGACTCGCTTCCACAACGCTTGTTGATGCAGCAATTTCTAAGTGCGCGCGCGCAATCGGATGCGTCAGGTTTGGAAGCAATCCAGGTCACCTTTTAGCAGACGAGCAAGCGTTGGCTCTGGCGACAAGACGAACGATTTGCAGTAGCGCGCATTGTTGTCGTGGCAGTAAAAATCGTCATCGTCATCGAAGAAATCATCGTCATCGCGACGATAACGATCATCACCAGCCACGAGCGTCGCCGCCAAGGCCACGACCAAGGACAGCAACATCCAACGTTGCCATTTTGCGCTCATCATGACGGACAACTGGAAAAACAGATGCCAGCCTAAAGTACACCCCAAGTTAAGCAGCCAATTCAGCGAGAACCCAGTATTGATCATGCCACGCCCCCTCTGAGACACCCCCCCCCTCCCCGCCGCACCGTTGATCCATCTCTCACACACACACACACACACACCTGATCGAAAGCTCTAAAAAAATGACGAATCCGAATCTTCAAGCAAGGGCGTCAAGTAAATCAAAAGGACAAAGGGTATTTGCGTGTGTGTGTCAGCACTTTAGGGTTTTGCTTTTTGGTTTTTTTTTTACATCCAAAAGGGGACAAACGTAAGTATTCTTTTTTGGGGGGGCGGGTCCCCGGCATGAGCACGCATCAGTTTCACAGCACAGCCTTGTATGAGGTACGTTGAACCAGAGATCGATTAGAAAAGTCGTCGTCAGCTACAGGTCTCAGAGCAGCAAAAGATAAAGATGATACGCAAAAAAAAACCCCTCGCTCAAAGAGATAGATGGAAACACCCCCGCCCCAAGCTCGTCAGCTGCACGCAGTGGCTTGCTGCTTTTCAAGAGAACACGACAAAAGGTCAGGGCATCGGTGACAGTGCTCATGCATTGGACGAGGTCTGCAAAAGAACACCCATGCGAGATGGGAGAAAGCAAAGCAAGCAGTTAGGTTCGCGGAAAATATGCGAAAAAAATGCAAGCCCGAGATCAAGGGCTCCTCTATCGGACCTGCTCAGCAGCCACGGGTAATAGCAATTGCAGAGCCTGTGCTAGTTCCATGTTTTCGTTCAAGAGTTGAGAAATCTGGATTCAAAAAAAGACAAGTCGTATGAGCCATGACGCTCTACAGGGGCAACATTGGCACACGTTGCAGATACAGGACGGCTCACAAACCTGTGCCTGCTGCTGGACCACAAAGTCCTCCAGCTGCTGGCACCGCGTGGTCAGTGCATCAAACTGTGGTTGCAGCAGCTGTGCGACCTAGAAGCGTGCGCCATGTCGTTCATCAGCTGACTGACTCGGCTGACCAGAACAGCCGCGAGATCAGGAGTATCAACAACAACAAAAAAAAAAAAAAAAAAAAAAAAAAAAAAAAAAAAAAAAAAAAGTTACCTGTGCAGCAAGGGCATCGGCGTTGGGCGAGAGATCTGCTGCAAGGGCACGTGAATGATCTTCTCCAGGAAAGAGTGGTCCACTCTGCGGCGGCCCCACTTGGGCAGTGCTTGGCCGCGTGCCCGCCATAGATACAGCGCTGGAGGTAGCTGGTGAACCTGAAGTGGGCGCAGTGCCGGGTCGGCGGGCTCCTCCGCTCCCCTGAGTTGGATGGGGCGCCGTGTTGGGCCGGCTGCTATGGGAGGTGACCGGAGCCGGTCGACTTGCCAATGGC